TTGTTTCAAATATCTAACTATTTGGATTTTTTAAAATATTTCATAATAATTATAATAAAAATCATATTTCAGATTCCATTGAAAACTGGGTTTTTAAATTATTTTGTAACTCATTTTATTCATTTGTATTAGCAAACACACAAATTTAAAGTAAACAAAATAAATTGAAAATATTTATTTTTTTTGTATAGTATCTTAATTATTATGGAAGCTATCTGAAAACTTAAATCGATTATTAATTGATAATTGGTTATTAATAATAAACCTGTTGTTTATCCAGTGGCGTCGTAAGTACTTAAAAAAAATAATAAAAATAAAAATGTCTAATTTTAATGACCCACCCTGTATCAATATTTATCAAAATTAGAACTTAAGTATCTTAGGTAAGGAGGATTCAATATAATTTATCAGATTTGAAATAAATACTGTCCTAAGGGTAGTTTACTCTTGACTCGAAAAGTATCAAACCCCATTAAAACGTACGTCTATGAGGTATCGCATTTTTTACCCTGGGCAAAATGTAGGTCTTATAGCCATACAGCCTCCTGCCAGAAATGAAAAAGATCGCTCAACAAACAACCAAGATATTGGCACGAGATTGGCTTGTATCCGTCTTAAGTAGGACACCTTGTATATAAATTTTGATTTTTAATTTTTTTTAAAACTAAGTTTTAGAAATAACGTTTCTTTTCTATATTTATAAAGCCCCGTTCTCAGAACAGCGACACGTTTGTACAAATCTGAAGCCCCGTTCTCAGAACTGCGACTGTCGCCAGCGACACGACAAAAGAACCAATCAGATTTGTACAAAATTCAAACAGCTGTCAATTTTAAATTTAGTACAGCTCCCATTGGTCGTTTGAAGTGTCAATCAGTGTCGCTGTCGACACGACGCAGTTCTGAGAACGGGGCTTCAAGCCCCGTTCTCGGAACAGCGACACATCAGAAGAGCCAATCGGATTTGTACAAAATTCAAACAGCTGTCAATTTTAAATTTAGTACAGCTCCCTTTGGTTGTTTGAAATGTCAAACTGTGTCGCCAACGACACGACGAACTGCGTCGTGTCGACAGCGACACTGATTGACACTTCAAACGACCAATGGGAGCTGTACTAAATTTAAAATTGACAGCTGGTTGTTTGAAATGTCAAACTGTGTCGCTGGCGACACGACGCTGTTCTGAGAACGGGGCTTATAGCCCTGTTCTCCTGCCAGAAATGAAAAAGATCGCTCAAAGAAACAATCAGATTTGTACAAATTATTGGCTTGTATCCGTCTTAATTTAGTACAGCTGAAGCCCCCATTGGTTGTTTGCGTCGTGTCGACAAACTTCAAACGACCAATGCGACACTAAATTTAAAATTGACAGCTGGAGCTTGTACAAATCTGATTGGTTCTTTTGTCGTGTCGCTGGCGACAGTCGCAGTTCTGAGAACGGGGCTTTAAGTATACTTATTTGAAAAAAATAATGATTTTATATGTAGAGACGCAATCGATTCATTTTCAGAATACGTCCAATAATTTTTAATGCTTCATCTACTAGTTATTTTTTTAGAAAGTTTTTCAAAGCTAATTTAAGTTTTTCATGATGTAATCCCTGTCATATTCATAACTAATTTCAAATCTTGCCAAGGATTAAAATATAAATTTTAACTGCACAAATTAAACATAATTACATCTCTAATGGCGATTTCGACTGGCTGCACTAAGCCGCACTCAATGCGAACACGAACAGAATTACAATTTCGACTGGTAAGAGCAAAGCAAAAACAATGTAAAATTGTGTTCGACTCGCGTCGCACTGACTCGGTGCGGATTGTTTTTTCGTTCGGCTGCATCAAAGCAGATTCGTAAACTAGCACTCAGTGCAATAATTTTGGAACCGTCATACATGGTCGGTTCTGTCCAGTTCGCTCCAGCACTGTGCAGTGCAACTCTTTGAGCAGTTGCTCGCCCTGAGAGCATTCGAATAGAACCGGCGCAGCCCAGTCGAAATCGTCATAACTTTTAAAGAAAAACTAAAGAATTATTAAAGAGTTATTTATTGATATATATTTAATTATATAATACACTGGTTTTTATAACAACTCAAATTTGTTATTCAAAATATCTTTTTACAAATAAAAAACTAAATAAAAAACAAATTCTGTTTAAACATAAGATCTAATACTTATACTATTAAAAAAAACGAGTCTATTACAACACCTTTCTTCTTTTAGCACTACTAGGCAAGTCTCTAAAGTCCCTGTTTTTACCACTCGGTGTCAACTCATGCCCACAGAGACTTTCTATGTATGGATCACGCTCTAACTCAATAAAAGGAATTTTGGAACACTCCTTTAATGACAAATATTGCATTCTTTCCATATTTTTTTATCCCTAATCCTGAATTGCTCAAGTTTGAAAGCTGCCTGTCTATTCATCTTCATAGATCTTTGCCTAGTACTTCTTTGTGTATTTATTGGTTTCCTATGGCTGTCAAGTGATTTCTTTTGCGACCCCTTTTTTTCTCCTGTATAAAAACCATCTCAAATCTAGGATCTTTCTGCAAAAACGACAAATCTGGGTTGTTTTCGATCAATAAAGGTTGATTAGGTTTAGAATCCTTTTTGGATTATTCACTTCCTCTATTTTAAATTCTTCTGCCAAACTTAAAGACTCGGTTGATGGTTCTGATTCCAAAAATATCAGTGAGTAAAGATATAGAACTAAGTTGTTCTTCTTTTTTAGGTTCAAAATTAAAACTTCCATTTTTTAGTTTGTCTATATTCAAAATTTCATATTCATCATCAGTTTTAGAACAAATTTCTGTTTTTTCTTGTTCAGATTTTGAATTATCTTTTCTATTTAATTTGCCATTTTTAAAAGAATCTGTAAATGGTCCTATTTTCAAAATTTTGGATTTATCATCAGGTTTAAAAGCAACTTGTATTTTCTTTTTTCAGGTTTAGAATTATTATTTTTATTATTCAATTTAGCGATTTCATGTTGTCCTGAAGACTCATAGAATCTCCAGATCAGTTCCTTTCTTGGTCTTCCTCTCTTTTTAGATTTGGACTTTGTATTACTTGATTTGCCAGTTTCAAAGTTGTCTTGAACCACTCCTGAGCCTTACAGGTTGATCCACATTATGACGAACACAGCGTGGAATTAATTTCTATATTAGCAGTTCAAGGCAAGAAACTCTTATATAATTTTATTATATACCTAAAAACTGCAAGAAATTTATTTTCCATTATATATATATATAATTTATAGTACCATTATGTGAGACAAACATATATTTATATGAACTAAGATTGAAACTAGATAGAAATATTTTATCCAGAGCTTACTTAGATTGACATCGACGTCTGTTAACGCAAATCCTCTAAATTCTTTCAGAATAAACCCACCGAAACTTAACTCTGTCCCTTTATCCTTGTCTATTTCTCAGTCAACCATGCAACATTTGTGATTAATAGCCGAAACTCCCCGTTTCTCCGGCGAAGTTGTCTTAAATTCGTCATCCCCCAAACTTTTACCTCGTCCTCGTGTCACTTTAGATGAAATTTCGGCTAAAGCCACACTGTTGCGGGTTTCTGACATTGTTTTGTTGTACTATGTTTGATTGTAGACATGATGGGTTGGTTAAGGACTTAGTTAGGGGATTGGGTAACGTTTTGATGTACTTTAATATTAATAATTTTGGTACCATTATAATTATACAGGGTGTCCCAAATATTCCTTGGACATAGAACTACTACGTTATTTTGGAATCAAAATAAGTTCATTGGACACAATTTACCTCTATACAAAAGTGCTTCGTTTGTCCGCTAGAAGGCATCAAACTTGATATACCTAAAGGTCCTGAATAACCCCTCATATTTTCGACATTTTTGTATTGTATATTGTTTGATTCTAAACATTCTGATATTTCTTCATAGAGCTACGTGACATTTTGATATTATTTATTGTTATTTGTTAATTTCACTTATTTTATTTTCGATTATTATAATAATTTATGTTGAAAACAAAAGTTTGATAACATTAAAACTTTTATCACGAAACTACGATTTTAAATTCGCTTATTGAGTAGGTTGACAATGTTGAATATACAGGGAAACATATATCTGAAATTTTGAACTGTATTCCGGAAACTTCGGCAGCAAATTCTACAGATAAAAATAAGTAAAAAAGTTCGTATAAATGTATATCCTAAACTGCCATCGCAACACTGAAAAATATTTTTAGCAAAATGTACACTTTTTCTGTCAATTTCTGCGTTAGTGGCAACAGCGACGCGTTATTCTAGGAGTAGTTCCCATTGAACTCCGTTCTACGCCAGTTTATTCACAAAAGTCTTTACTAGTAAAGACAGAATTAGGGAACCATGCGGCTATTAATTGAAGGATTGAACACATGCTGACTATATGAAAAGATTAAGTATATCTCTCAGTATACTCAAAGATATATTTTGTTCTCAAAACCACACTCTCTTCAAAAATACTTGAAGAATTATTCCTCATCGTCTATACTGAATCCAGGTCTAACACCCGTAGTACAGAAAATCAGGTGATCTCTTATTTTAGGGATTATGTATTGGATTTCGAATGTGTGTGATATATTAGTATGGCATTTTTTTTAATATGTTTTCTAATGGCGATTTCGACTGGCTGCACTAAGCCGCACTCAATGCGAACACGAACAGAATTACAATTTCGACTGGTAAGAGCAAAGCAAAAGCAATGTAAAATTGTGTTCGACTCGCGTCGCACTGACTCGGTGCGGATTGTTTTTTCGTTCGGCTGCATCAAAGCAGATTCGTAAACTAGCACTCAGTGCAATAATTTTGGAACCGTCATACATGGTCGGTTCTGTCCAGTTCGCTCCAGCACTGTGCAAGTGCAACTCTTTGAGCAGTTGCTCGCCCTGAGAGCATTCGAATAGAACCGGCGCAGCCCAGTCGAAATCGTCATAACTTTTAAAGAAAAACTAAAGAATTATTAAAGAGTCATTTATTGATATATATTTAATTATATAATACACTGGTATTTATAACAACTCACATTTGTTATTCAAAATATCTTTTTACAAATAAAAAACTAAATAAAAAACAAATTCTGTTTAAACATAAGATCTAATACTTAATACTATTAAAAAAAAACGAGTCTATTACAACACCTTTCTTCTTTTAGCACTACTAGGCAAGTCTCTAAAGCCCCTGTTTTTACCACTCGGTGTCAACTCATGCCCACAGAGACTTTCTATGTATGGATCACGCTGTAACTCAATAAAAGGAATTTTGGAACACTCCTTTAATGACAAATATTGCATTCTTTCCATATTTTTTTTATCCCTAATCCTGAATTGCTCAAGTTTGAAAGCTGCCTGTCTATTCATCTTCATAGATCTTTGCCTAGTACTTCTTTGTGTATTTATTGGTTTCCTATGGCTGTCAAGTGATTTCTTTTTGCGACCCCTTTTTTTCTCCTGTATAAAAACCATCTCAAATCTAGGATCTTTCTGCAAAAACGACAAATCTGGGTTGTTTTCGATCAATAAAGGTTGATTAGGTTTAGAATCCTTTTTTGGATTATTCACTTCCTCTATTTTAAATTCTTCTGCCAAACTTAAAGACTCGGTTGATGGTTCTGATTCCAAAATATCAGTGAGTAAAGATATAGAACTAAGTTGTTCTTCTTTTTTAGGTTCAGAATTAAAACTTCCATTTTTTAGTTTGTCTATATTCAAAATTTCATATTCATCATCAGTTTTAGAACAAATTTCTGTTTTTTCTTGTTCAGATTTTGAATTATCTTTTCTATTTAATTTGCCATTTTTAAAAGAATCTGTAAATGGTCCTATTTTCAAAATTTTGGATTTATCATCAGGTTTAAAAGCAACTTGTATTTTTCTTTTTTCAGGTTTAGAATTATTATTTTTATTATTCAATTTAGCGATTTCATGTTGTCCTGAAAGACTCATAGAATCTCCAGACGGTTCCTTTCTTGGTCTTCCTCTCTTTTTAGATTTGGACTTTGTATTACTTGATTTAGCAGTTTCAAGTTGTCTTGAACCACTCCTGAGCCTTACAGATGACTCTGTTTCGAAAATGTTAGATTTTTTAGTTGTTTTAGAATTAATTTCTGTTTTTGATATTTTTGATTTATCACGAGTGTTAGAAGTAATTTTTGCATTTTTTGTTTTACTTTTTGGGTTTTTTGCAAGAGGTTTTATAGATGAAGTTGATTCACATTCAGATTTCCTCCTCCTCTTTCTTCTTTTACTAGTCTCCCCAAAATGTTCTAATGCTTCGATTAGTTTGCCTTCTTTTTTCAATCGTTTGAATTTTTCTAGAAACTTTTCCATTGGTAATTTATTTTCTTCGTTTTTAAGTAATCCCTTTAACTGAATAAAGACAAGAGTCAATTGGTCCTCTAATATTTTTCTCTCTAAAGTAGCTATCTCTTCTGCATTTTCACTGTCATTTTCATTTGAATTAAATGTAATATTATTATATTGTAAATATTTCTCTTCAGAAACTAAAACCTGTTCTGCATGTTCATTCTTAATACTTGCTCCTTCGCGAATGTTAATGTTGGATGTATTTAATTGGTCTGAATTAAATGTAATATTACTGTTCTGTAGGCTTTTCATATTACAATCCTCAATCATAGGTTTATTTGTTAATGTTATATTAATATATTCATTGTCTGTAGAAATACCAATAATATCCTTAAAATGCTGTAACAAAATTGCGTTGCCTATAGGACTGATTTTACATTGCCATGTATTTTTAAATAATTCTTGATTTGATGAATAAAACTCTTTATTAATCTCTAATTCTGTTAGATGCGTGAAAGAGAGATTTAGTGGTTTATATAAAATTAAAGGTAAATTTTGTGGTGTTTTTACTGCATTTTGTAAATGCAATGTATCATTTAATTTGCCTATTGTGAGACATTCAGGAGACAAACTACAATTATTTGTGTTATCAAATGATTTTTCAATAAACAGAGAATCCCTTTGGGTGTCTGATTTCTGGAAATTAGTACAAAATTGAGAACATTCTGATTCACTTAAATTCTTATCCGAAGGAATATTACTAAAATCCTCATAATTTTTTTGGATTATACTTCTACTTTCAGAAAATATTTTAGAATCAGTAATATTCTGACTGGATGAACAAGTTTGTGTTGTACTTTGAGATTCCTTTAATGGACTAAAACTAATTTCTAGTTTGTTCTCAAATAATGTTCGTTGTAATAAGTCAGATGTTTTACTTGCTGGTTCTTCTTTTTCTTGATCAAGTTCTGCTTCATCATTGGTTTTACAGGGTAGGTCATTTGAATAAGATTCTTCTAATTCCTTATGTGCCATTGAGCTATTATTACCAATAATTAGTTTCTGCTGCTTTGGACTCAAACATGATACTTCTGGTTCTTTTAATATCTGTTCCCGTGTTGTTTCTTCTTTTTGTTGGTCAAGTTCTGTTCTATTGTTTATTGACTTATTAATTTCACTTGATGCTAAATGATTATCATCTGAAGAAATATTATTTGCATTCAATATTTTACTTGTTTCACAGAGTACGTTACTAGAACAAGATCCCTTTTTTAAATCAGTAAATACATCTTCTATTTCCGTATGTTCCATTGGGCTGGTATTACCAATACTTACTTTGTGCTGCTTTTGACTTACACATGATACTTCTGGTTCATTTAATGTCTGTTCATGTGTTCTTTCTTCTTTTCGTTGGTCAAGTTCTGCTTCATCTTTTGTTGAAAGTGAAAAATTACTATCATCTGAAGAAATATCACTTGCGTCCAATATTTTACTTGTTTTACGGAATAAGTTGTTAGAACAAGAATCTTCCATTAAATCAATAAAGCCTAATTCATTATGTGCCATTGCGTTATTATGGTCAATAAAAAGGTTCTCCTGTTTTGGACTTACATTTGATCTTTCTGGTTCTTTTGATACCTGTTCATATGCTGTTCCTTCTTTTTGTTGGTCAAGTTCAGTTTCATCTTTTACTGGCTTATTCAATTCATTTAATGAAAAATTACTATCTTCTGAAGAAATATCACTTAAATCCATTATTTTACTGGATTTAGAGAGTAAGTCACTAGAAGATTCCATACTTAAATCAATAAAGGAGCTTCCTAATTCCTTCTGTTCCATGGGGGTATTACTCCCTATATATATTTTCTGTTGTTTTGGACTTTTACCGCATGAAACTTGGGACTCCGAATGACATTTTTCTGATGGCGGTTTTAGTGTCACCGACGACAAGATGTTAATTATTTTAGTAGATTTAGGTTTCCTGTGCTGTGATCCATTTTCAGTTTCTTTTTCAGGTCGTTTACTATCAAATATATCTTTTGGAGATACTGTCACTAAGTTAGATTCATCAAACGAGTCGGAAAATAAATCTTCAACATCCATTTCATTATAATACTGGTATAAAAACGTTGCGCCTCAAGTTATTATCAAATGACACTTTAAACAGGCCTGGAAATTATACCTAAAATAACAAATATTTTAATCAAGAGTGAAAAAATTTAGCAACAAATAAACGTTAATTGGACCGTATTAAACATAAACAAATAAAATTACCGATCTGTCTATGAATCTAGTAAGTTTTTACTGTTTGTTTTTACTCTGTTAACACTGTGTTGTGGAAGATTTTAAACTTTCTATGTCTTAACAAATTTTCCACTCTTTTATAAATTTATCAAAATAGACAACAATATTTTAGTTTACGTTTAAACCATAACCTAAAAAATGACATATCTTCTTTTCCGTTTAACGGCCTTAAAACTGCTAGGACTATACGGCCGCCAATTACTTAAATCGCCTGTCATTGGCATTATAAAATTGAACGTTTTCTCTGGTACCTACAACTATTATGAAACTTGGTGTAATTTAATATATGTAAGATTGTAAGAAATGGTATATTTGTACTAGTTAGCGTAGAAAGAAAAAACTAATTTCTACTTTCCTGGCTGCATAGCCTTAGAAGTTAAAGGCCAATAAACTGAAATGAAGAAGACTGTTTAATGGCCACAGATGCCAGAGCTATCCGGCAGGAATTTATATATGAATATTAGTGCTCTTCTGGATATTTTTCATATATAAAATTTTGATATTTTCTAACTAATTATATATTTTTAAGGGGCAACGGCCCAGCTACGTCGAAACACCGGTTCCCATTAGAACACCGAAGTTAAGCGACGTAAGGCGATGCTAGTGGATGGACGGGTGACCGGTTCGAAACTTTGCATCGTGCTGTTGTCCAAAAAAAGGGAAAAGTGTAAAATCTATTGATACACACTGGTTCAAGGCCGGATGAGATCGGATATCTCGTGAGTAAGAGTTAATTTAGACACTTCCTAAGTCGGTAGGCCATTGACCATGATATGGCCGAGGACCGCGGTTCGGATTCCGCGTAAACAAGTAGGTCCCGTCCAGTTTAGCCATTGCAGCAGAAAGGAGACGTTAACTTGAACCTCACACATATATTTTTAAGAAGACTAATCAACTCACAAGTTTATAAATAAAAGTAAAGTAAAATAGCAATTTTTTTTCCTAAGAGCTATTTAATAAACGAAATAAAATTACTTATCAGAATGGCAGCCTTAGGAACAGCGATAGATTCTCTCACGGCAGCAATGAAATGTAACATTATCCCAAATCAGGAATACCTTCTTCAGGGTTCCGTTTTGGACCAATATGTGGAAGTGCTACTGCATAGATTGAGAGGTTTATGCGATAATGTGGATAGCGGCCCCGAAACGTTCAACGATCACGAACTCTGTTATTCTTTAAGGGCTAATAACGTCAATACACCAATGGCACTGCCTTTAAGAGTCAGAAGAGCTTTAGATGTAAGCGATGCACCATTTCAGCTACGTTACGTAGGTCAGCAAGAGTTAGGCGATAAGAATAGGCCTACTGTGGTTCGTTCATGTATTGACATGGCATGTAGTTCTACAATTATAGAATTTCTTAGTGAATTAGGTATATCCACTAAACATTATTAGTTAGGGACTGCTTATACTAAAGTTAATTTATTTTAGGATGTAGATTGGATTTTGAATACATTGCAAGAGGATACATGTTCAGGAAAGGAAGAATGAAGGTAACAGTCTCTAAAATATTTAAAATGAATGGAATAGCAAATAAACCTGGGGAAGGTGTGGAAGCAATTTCTCAAAGTTATTTAGTTGAATTGTCGGTACAAGCACCTTCGGGTCAAGATGCCATAGCAGAAGATATGAGAGTATTTGCGGAACAGCTGAGGCCTTTAGTGCAGTTAGAGAAAATTGATTATAAAAGACTAGGGAATATGATGTAATTGAAACGTTTACATGGTAACTTTGTTTCCTGTAATTATATTTTTATATTATGGTAAGATTATTTTTTTCAATGCTCTAGACTGATTTTATTTTATTATATTGTATTTTTAATTAGTTAATTAAATAAAGTACTACTCTTCAACACCAGATGGATATAGTGGAGTCTCGCTGGTAGAATCAGTTGATGTAATATTTGTAGAAGTTTCATGCTCAGTTTCTGGTATGGTATCCAAGTCATTTTGAAAAGTATTATAACGAGTATAACCTGGATAGTTCATATATATTTCTTGAATCTGTGTCTCGTCCTGAGTTTGGTCTTGAGCAGCTAACATGTTCAGATATTTCTCTATCATATCAGGATCAATGTGCTCTAGAAAATAACAAATGTATCTTGTATAAAATTACATAATTTAGTCTTATCAAAACCTTGTTCGTCAGATACAATGTTTTGATGTTCTACTGATGCATTTGGTTTCAAAGATGAGTCAACTGTTCCATGTGGTATAGAGTCAGCATAGCCCATACTAATACTGTAGCGAACACCATCCACTGTTGGTAAAGATGAATTGACGCTGAATGAGGTATCCTTTCCTAATTATAAACAGATGCTATTAGTAGATTGAACATATTGCTTGAGTTAAATTGACGAAGATAAATTTCTTTAATAAAGATTATTAATTTCTTCTGTGTTAAATTAAAACTTACCCACTTTAGGCAAACCTTCAAATTGAGAATATACAGCCTCGTGTATGGATTTCAAGTTTTGTCTCTGCTTATCAGCCATATTCTTTCTGATCGTCTGCTTTTCAACTTCTGGCAAAACAAAATGATGGACCAAATCCGAAATCAGTTCTTCCTTTGCAGAAAAAAAATACAACAGTTTATAAAAAGTTAGGACTAAATCTAAATACACTGGTTTGCATGAAAATCGGCACTGACCGGCACCAGCGAAATAAGAAGGCCATCCAGGTGTGACGTAACCAGGTGTTTCTCGTGACGTCGTCAACTGGAGGCGTAACTCTATTTAGCAGCGTTGATAATTACCCGATAAAAATTCTATTAAAAATGTTATTTCACTGGTGCCGCACTCACACCATTCTTGCGGATTCTTATGTAAAATTATCTCCTGAATCCAAATATAACTCCGTTTTTCTCCATCAGCCCCCATTTTTTGGGAAGACTCCCTACCTATTTTTACTGCTTTTCAATAATTTGGTGCCAGATCTAGCATTTTTTTGTTAGCATTATAATAAAACACGCTTTTAGATGTATCAAAATTTAATGAGAGTATATAACTTTATTTCTACATATTATATGTTTCGGCTTGTTAGGCCTTTTACAAGAGTTTTTTTTATATTTTTAATTGTTCAATAGTATAAAAAAAACTCTTGAATCTAAAAGCGTGTTTTATTAAAATACTACTATTTCAACGATGTTTCACAAAGAACCCACCACAGACTCAATACTTTTTATTTTTTGCTGTTAGTGTAGTGATACACTATCAACACTTATTTTAACACTGAAAAAATTCCGTTCGTTTTAAAAGAATCTATTTTTGTATAGGCTTTTCGTATTTCAATTGATTTTAAAAATTCGAGAATATCGTAAACAACTGATACCTATATACAAATACACACGATTAAATAACGAGTATACGAAAAAATTATTATATAATTATTCTGAAAGTGTTAGAAAATCTAATTTGTGAAAATTCTAAAAATACAAATAAAAAAGTAAATATTTTGATATCTTCAGAAGGTTTAACTTGTATTAATTTATTATTCAAACTAATAAAAATTTTTAGATGAGTTCAACTATGGTAGCGAGCATAGTTTTGCCTACCGGTTTTGCTAGTGGGGTCATAATTGGAGCTATTTCGGCTATAACGAAATTTGTTGAAGGTACATATTTATAATTTTAGAAGATGTTCATAAAATATTTAATCGCTAATTGATTAAAAAAAGTATACCATTAATATTACAAATTATATTTTATCCTCTCATAGTATTTGTCTATTTAATTTTTTGAATATGTTACGAGCACATGTTTTGTCGAACTGCTTGAATCCATTTGTGATCAAATCGATGTGAGAAACTATGAAGCTATAAAATATGTTGTTTCGGGATAGTTGAATATCCGGGAAAGTTGAGTTATTGAATGTTATTGCACCCAACAACGCCCTAATTACGCTCTCCTTTACGGTACGTTTATGTTGGAGCTGCGATAAACGACAAAAGCAGTGAATTAGCGCTGCTCTTATCGTTGCTCAACTGCCAACCGTGTCTCGACGCGTTGCTCCAATATAAACACCTACATATAAATTAATATAATAATATTCTTTGCTTCGCTACTATCGCTGCTCTTATCATTTATCGCCGCTCCAACATAAACGCACCCTTACGCGTTAACGTTTTTTCGGTAATTTTATGAAACATTTGAAGGGTCCAGTGGAAAAACTTAAGCGCCAATTTCTTAATTTTAGGATTTTACAATATTATAGTAGGTCTAACTGATTCCTACAAAATATATAAACTCTGCAGGGCAATAAGTTATTAAATCCTATGATATACATATATGCCTAGTAAAAATCTAGATTATACGGAAAGAACCTAATAACCAGCAGCCGTGCAGTGTTCTCCTGTAAAATTAGTAAAATGGCGCTTATCATGTTTTCCCGTGGACCTGATGTAACGCTACCCGAAACAGCGTTACATCACACAAACCTCGGACCTGAGTGTTTTATAGTTTCAATAACTGCACTAGTAAGAAATCATATATTTAAATATTATGACAACTGGACTGCGTCAAATACTTTATACCCGGCACTTCTAATTTCTGCCTGAGCGCTGCGGTCGGAATTTTTAAAATTAATTGAAATGCACCAAGCCTTATCAGTTATCATAGTTAACAAAGTATACTGTAGTAGATATAGTGTGATAAGTGCTTGTGTATTAGGTGCCAAAACAAACTATTTTAAATGATATAGATAACAAAAGAAAATATACCTGCGCGCCCACTCCTTTCATGGCATATATCTTATCAATCATGTTAACTTCCTTTTCTACCTTCTCCGCTAGATTTAAGACATAATCTTTCGCTTCTTCGGTAGAAGCAAATTCGATTCCTTCTGTGATGATATCTTGCAAGTATAAATCCACCGATTCCTGGGTGACTTTCACTAATTGTCTGGAAATGAAAGGATTAAAATTTACTTCCAACAGTTGCGCATAAACTTGATACCTGAATATCTCATCGTGTTCCTTTCTTCTCCTAATTTCCTTCTGTCTTCTACCAGCTTCCGCTGCCTCCCGTATATTGCGCTCCCTCTCGTTGATCCAGCACATCGCGTGTGCCTTTCTTTCCTCCAACAGCCTCCTCAATTCCTTGTTGAGGAAATCCAGAAGTGAGCCTACGACCTGTCCTTGAAGTTTTCCTAAGGTCCCTTGCAAGCGAGACACCTAGGAAATGCATGTTAATCCAAAAGTAACAGAGAATGAGGTCTGTAGAAGTTACCATCACACTTTGAATTGTTTCTTCTCTTTGTTGAGCCCGAACTTTTACTTTATCTTTCGATCGTAGCTCTTTGTCTTTCTTCAAAAGGCCTATGGAGTTCTTCAGTTCGAGAATGAGTTCCTTGCAAGTATCCCTACCTTCGTATACCTATTTTAAAGAATGATTATTAAAATGATTTGATAGGGTCGAAGTATTGGGGATTTGATAGTACGAAGTCGTGAGTAAGATGTCCAATAATACCTTGATTGAAAGAATTAGGGAGATACGCAACTTAATGGGCGAATTCGTGACAGGGCTGACTTGATTTCCTTTTACGTCCCAAGTGCTGTAGGCTGGAGACGCCAATCCTTCTGCGGCCAACGCTTAAAAATTCACTCTTCTCTAATTTGGCTAGCCAAGGCATATCTAAGGTGTGTAAGACGGTGTGGAACTGAGAGCGACAGTGTTGCTATATTAAAATATGTAAGATCTGTAATACGTTTTGACGAAAATATTATCTTTGGATGAAAAATTCTCTTTTATGTATTGAAAATTTATTCGTGTTAAACATAGAATAAACAACAAAAATAAACATTCTTTTATTCAGATACTGAATATGTCGTATGATCGAAAAAAGTCGTTTAGGTCGCTTGGAAATAACTATCGACATTTAACATAATATTTTACTTATGAAATAACAGCAATCTTCATTTCCAAGCCGACACTGTCGCCGTTCTTTGTTTAATCATATAATATTATATTGAATTGTTTAATAATAGAAAATCTGTATTATTAACGTACTGTATCAAAAATCCGTAAATCTACCGATTTATCAATAGTTTTGGCAACATTGTCTCCGGCAACCACGCACACACTCTGTCGATTGAAAGCAGAACTACGGTACAGTTTTCTTTATCCGCTGCGCTGTAAACGACTATCAGCGCGTAGCGGCGCAGAGCTTAACTAAATCTCGAACAGGCTGACGGTAACGCCAGCTACATCTCGGACAGGTTTTGGGTCACAAAATCGCCCATAAGGTTGCGCATCTTCTTCTTTCTTCAATCAACGGTAATACCTAAGATCTTTTACAAGTAGCACTAGTGCTTGTAGAAAAAAATATATATCAAAGATTCTTTGTATCTGTGCTGTAATATTTTGATGACTTATAATAAGGGATTTTATTATACAGGATGGCGCACCTCATTCGCCTCGGTTGATTATACGAAAGCGGAAAGATGTAGAAACAAAATTTTGACAAACTTTTGTTTATATAGCATGCATATTTAAATATCTTTAAATATATCAAAAACCAAAGTATTTAAACATATTAATAGATAAGACTAACTAGTCTTAATCATCTGCTGATGATGCTAACATGGTTAGCGAAACGCGCGTCCAGTGTAAAAGTAAAAGTGTTTTGGTGTATTGTGGTGCTTTAGTGTTTTATTTTGCTGTGTAACACCAAAAGTTCTAACCCCCAACTGTAATATACAGGGGTATCAAATATTGCTGGTCTTATTTAAATATTTATTTTACATAAAAACTTCGTTATTTCAAATACAGCACTATATGTTTTTTTAAACAAGTCGAAGCAGATTTAAATGCTCTTTCAAACTATATTAGGGTTTCCTATACCTATATGGCTCAAATTTTGAATAAAAAACGATTTTTAAATAAAATGGAAATCAAGATGGCTGGTGTCGCCATGGCAATTTGCTAGTGACATTTAGCTATTTTCAAAATCGACATTAGTTTATGGACTTTATTTAAATTTATAACAGTTTACTTTTATTTAATTTACTTACAATAATTTAATAACTAAATACGTATTTATTATTTTATCAAGAAAAATAAAGAAGTAGTTCTTTGATTTATATTACGATGACTTGCAGATATATTGGATTTTCTATAAAATAGCCAATTAAGACAAATTCATTTTCTTCACTTCCAACGTCAGGTTTCTGCCTAATAGGTTTTACAACCACTATATCCTACCACACTATCAACGCTGCGAAATAGGAAAAGTAGTATTTCAAAGGAACGCTTGTCAAGAAAGTTTCTATTTGGATACCTTTGAGCATAAACCATTCAGGCCACAAACAATTGTCCTCACAAAATAAAATCACTAGTACATATCCATTCCTTCCGCCAGCAGATACTGCTTCTTTTTTCTTGGCAAAATAAATACTTATTAACCTTACTATAGGTAAATTAAATAAAAATGACCTATTCAAAAAAATACATAGTGTTGTATTTGAAATAACGAAGATTTTATGTAAAATAAATATTTAAAATATACCAGCAATTTTTGAAACCTTTGTATACATTTAAGGAAACAATCAAATTTTTTAGTAGCACAAGAATTAATTTTGAAAAGTAATGTACAAGGTGTTAGGTTGACAAACTTTTTTATTATAGCATGCATATTTCAATATCTGCGAATATCTCAAAAACCAAAGCTTTTAAACATATTAAACCCTTATAATAAATACCTTATTTTATGTCCAAGGATTAAAAAATGAAATAAAATACCGGGTGTTCCATAAGAAAAAATATTACTTTGGTATGGATCTTAGTTCTGACACACCCTGTAATTATTTGAAAATAATTTTAAATTATATACATTGCCTTCCCACATATACCGATAAAATATTTTATTTCTACATCTTTCCGTTTTCGTATAATCAACCGAGGCGAATGAGGTGCGCCACTCTGTAGACTTAGGATAGCTTTTTGTTATAAGTCGGAGAACCCATGACACAAACTTTTTAATATTAAATAGTATACCTACCATCATTTGTATGGCTCTGCCTTTGATGAGACTCTGCAAAAACACTATGGCTTGGTACTGGTCTTCTTGAACCACATCGACTCCCTCCACCTCGGGAGTGGGTACTTCCTGCACCGGCTTCTGGTTCCTTATCCTCAAATAACAAGGCTCCCTTTGTGTTTCTTTACGCAAATCTGAAATCATTGTTTTAATTAACATAGTATAGGAATTGTAGAATTAAAAATTTTACTTTGTAGTTCTTCGTGAAGTTGCTTAAGCACAGGGGCAGTCCATTTCGTTTCCCTAATACAGAGCTGAGGTACTTTGGATTGAGGTGTGGATCTTTCTAGGCCTTTTAGATCTGTGGCTTGATGTAACCATCTGGGTAAGGTGCTGAAATGTTCCACTCCTAATTTATAAAAAATAAATATTTAAGTATACAGGGTTGTTCACCACATACGACACGGAGTATTGTAGCTATACAGAGCGCCCTAAAAAAATAAAAAATATCAAAGTTGTATTTTTTTAAATGGAACACCCTGTATATTATTACATTTTTAGTTTCACGGGTTAAAATAAAGGTAAATTTGATTAAGGTTTACCGCTTTTTAGTCTTACCGTTTTTGAAATATTTACGTTTTTGTCAAAATACATTAACAATTTTAATGCTTTATTTCTCTAGGCGTATTTAAGTTTTTATAGCCAAATATTGTACTGCAGTTTTTCTACTTACTAAATTTTGTATTGCAATAATAAAAATTGTACCCAAACCAAACCTTATACAGGTGTCTAAAAAATAATTTTAAATAATTACTAGCTTTAAGCGGCAATAACTTCTTTAATTTAACATCCTGTATATTTTATGAGAATCAGATGCACAATTTAATTGTCTATCAAATTGTATTATACCATTTTTTACCTATCTCTTCAATTTTTCGTAGAAAATGCGTTTTCTTATAATTTTACCTTATTTATCAATATACCCATCGAATATTGACATTTTAGATTATTTTTTAAAGATTTAACACATTTTCAAAGAGTGCAAATACTAATATTGTCGACATAGTTCGTTTATTTCAATAAAAAAAATCTGTTTAAATATTTGCTAAATAAGACCAATTAACATGATTCCAGTATTCAAACTACATTAATTGACAGTTTGCGTTGATTAATATTATCTGCTCCAAATACAAAAAACTGAATTTTGTGTGTCTATTAGACAGTGTGGTAAAAATTAACACCTTAAAAATTTTATTTCAATTTTTGACGAATGGTTATTTATAACAACAACGACATTCATTTTCATAACTTATTATTATATTGATTTCTGATCCAAATTCACATTTATTTAGAATAATTTATTAACTAACACAATTAAGTATGTAATTAATTAATATTTGGGCGGAAATCATGGTGGTATTTTTAATTAATGGTATACTCTTTTACAACAAATGGGCTAGTAATGTTATAGTTTTTAGCACCTGTACAGGGTGGGTCAAATTCGACGCTTTTAAATGGAAACACCCTTTTCTATAGGAGATAGACGAAAACTAATATCAGTGTCTGGAGCTCAATTTTTGTCAAAAACATGATAGTGAGTTACGGGGTGTTTTTCAAAAATATGCACTTTTAACAAATCGCCGTAACTTTTTTGTTATGGAAAATTTTGTATTTTTATGAAAACATTTCCAAAGCACTTTTTTACGTAGAATTTAATGGTTTAAGTATAACTTTTTTAAAATTAATAATTTAAATTATCAACAGAAAATTTGATTTTTTATATGGGACACCCTGTGTATTTTTAATTTATTGAAAATAATTTAAAATTACCTTTCCAAAAATATAACACACTTGATATTTTGGTCGATTCCTCTTCGAAATATAGAGTATATAATAATTCGCCCGCTTTAAATGAGTAGGCTATGAACGGCACCGGCTGTAATGCAAAAAAATCTAGCTGGGAGCATCAATTAAAACGAAAATAATATTTGCTATGAGAGATGCAGAATTTTTTAAAGAGACTATTTAAAATATATTTAATCAACATCAACATAAGACAGAACTATTTAAAATATATTTAATCAACATCAACACATTTAAACTATATCTAATAACAAGAAAAATAAATAGCAAACCAAGACATGAGATTTTGCTATAGGTGTTCGATATATCGACCGTCTTCTGTTATGGACAGACGGGGCAGTTTTTCAACATTTCTTGCGGAATTCATTAACTCAGTGGGGGTGAAAGATACCCTCTCATAACTGCTAAGTATTTCTAATTCTTGTCTAAATTATACCGAAAAATAAGGAACATTTATTCTTCCGCAAATATATCGATAGGATTAGATCCATGGGCACTAAGCCAGGCGGCCTCGACGGTCAACGGCTGGAATCTTGGTTGGCTATTCAATTATTCTTGAAATTGGATGCAAAGATTTGCTGATAACTTCAGCGATCAGAGGCGGTGCGTCGTCTTGCTGGAAAAATATATTTTCGAGTTCCATTAAGGGCATATCATCAATAAAGGGTCCAAAGCCTACTAGTTATAAGTGGCGAACTTTTAAAAATTCTGTATTTCGAAGGGGATTATAACAAAATATCAAGTGTGCTATATTTTTGGAAAGGTAATTTTAAATTCTTTTCAGTTAATTAAAAATATAGAGGGTGTCCCAAATAAAAAATCAATTTTTCTGTTGATAACCCTTAAATTATTAATTTTAAAAAAATTATACTTAAACCATTAAATTCTAGGTAAAAAGGTGCTTTGGAAATGTTTTTATAGAAATACAACATTTTCGATAGCAAAAAAGTTACAGCGATTTGTTAAAAATGCACATTTTTGAAAAACACCCCGTAACTCCGAAACGGTAACAGATATTGATGTGCGGTTTTCACCATCATGTTTTTGATGAAAATTGAGCTCCAGACACAGATATTAGTTTTCGTCTATCTCCTATAGAAAAGGGTGTTTCCATTTAAAAGCGTCGAATTTGACCCACCCTGTACATTTTGTACATTTGTTGCTTTAAGGAACTCTAAAATGTCAATATTCTATCGGTATATGAGTCTAAATTATAAGAAAATTCATTTTCTACGAGAACTTGAAGAGATAGGTAAAAAATGGTTTAAACCAATATGATAGACAATTAAATTGTGCATCTGATTCTCCTAAAATATACAGGGTGTTCTATTTAAATTAAACAAGTTATTGCCGTTTAAAGCTAGAAATTATTTAAAATAATTTTTAGACACTCTGTATGAGGTAGTATTATTTTTATTATTGCTACACAATAAGTGACCAAACAAATAAACTTCAGTAAATATTTAGTATTAAAAACTTTGATACCCTTGGAGAAATAAAGCCTTAAAATTTTTACTGCAATTTCACAAAATTGAAAATATTTCATAAACGGTAAGGTTTCAGTGTGATAAACCTTAATCAAATTTACCTTTATTTTAATCATAGAAACAAAAAATGTAATAATATACAAGATGTCCCATTTAAAAAAATACAACTTTGATATTTTTTATCTATTTGGGACAATCTGTATCTTGTAAAAATATTTTTAAATTGTAGCTCTAAAAGCCCTTCAACAAACCCAAAACTTACCATTTGTAAAAATCTAATCGTTTATCTATAATATTCCGTGTCGTATGTGGTGAACAACCCTGTATAAGTGTTTCCAAAAAGGCACTACCCAATTATCAGGAGGTAATTTCTCATCAAAAATATGAAAAAAAGTTCTAAGGAAAAATATACAAGATGTTAAAACTTAAAAAAATATTTTTTCTGTAATTATCTGTAAATAACTTGTAGCCGAGTTTCTTAAAAAAAAATAATCTTATTTCTTGTAATATAATGGCCTACTTTCAGCCTAATTAAATTAATATTATTAACTTCAGTGGCATCCACCATCGAAAAAATTGAGAAATGTACGCAACTAATTTTTCTTGCAATTTTTGTATACAGGGTGAGCCTTAAATAAGTGCAAATATTTTCAGGACTGGTAGATCCCGATAAAAGAAACATATTTTCTCTTTACCGTTCTTCAAATAAGTTCAAAATGACCGAGATTATTTTACTTCGAAAATGAAAAAAATAGATTTTTCGTTTATATCTTCAGAACCGATGGATCTTTTCTGGCGTTTGTTTTTTGTCAATTTAATCTGCTACCTATGTTGTCATATTATGAAGATATGATTTTTAACCAAAAATTTAAAAAATTCCAAGTTTTTAATTGCTTTTTTCGCGAAAAAACTTGTTGAAAAAATTGTTGAAAACTTGTGTTTCTGAGATCGAAATATCTCTATCCTATCTACTATCCCTAAAATATTTGCACTTATTTAAGACTCACCCTGTATATGATACGATTGAAAAAAAACGTTGTTAGGCTTAGAACTAAAGATCGCTGTCGATTTATTTGTAAAATTATATGGGGTTATCAATCGTCATTTCAAAGCCAACTGGACGCCGTATTTTTTCGATCATACGGCGTTTTTAATGAACATAATATACAGGGTGAGTCTTAAATAAGTGTATATATTTTTAGGGATAGTAGGTATATTTCGATCCCAGAAACACGTCTATGAGGTTTTTGTCGCGAAAATTGGAATTTTTTTTAATTTTTAGTTAAACACATAATATCTTCATAATATGGCAACATTGGCAGTAGATTAAATTTACAAGAAAAAAAAAACAGAAAAGATGCAGTGGTTCCCAAAATTTAAGCGAAAAATATTTTTTTTTTAAATTTTCAAAGTAAAATATTTCGATTATTTTGGACTTATTTGAAAAATGGTAAAGAGAAAATATGTATCTTTTATCGTGATCTACCAGCCCTGAAAATATTTGCACTTATTTAAGACTCACTCTGTATAATTAATATGGTTAACGTTTTTAGTAAATAAGATATATTGTAATCGCAAAACATTTTCCGATGCACGTCATCAATCATATCGACATTGATATAGTCGACAACCTGACTAAATGAAATTTTGGCAAAAATTTTTAAATTTGTTGTATGATTTAAGATACCGAGCAGCTCTTCCTTTTACTTTATAGAGCAAATGATTGTAACAAATATTTTATTTAGATTAAAGCTGCAAAAATTAGTTTAAATCGCTATTTAGTTTATTATTGCTATGTTGGTCACATTGCGACGTTTTCAGCAAGGTTTCGTTTATTATTTGACAATTATATATATATGTCGGTCATTATTTTGTATAATATCGTGTTGTTGTTGAATCTTTGTTAGTAATTCTCGTTTTTTGCCTATTTTCATAGTCTTTTTTTAAAAATTGTACTAAATTTTTGAGTTTTTGTATTGCATCTCTTGAAATTGTGTGTTGAAAATATGCCGAAGCATTTAAACAGTCGAAGCAAAGAGCTTGTAGCTTCCCTGATAAACTATTTTAAACGAGAACGTGACAATAAAGGTCCTTTATTACCCTTGACTGCAGTCAGAGAAGTAAGTTTGATTGATAAGCACATTACACCACTTTCAAAGTTATTTCTACGTTAGTTTTTATTAAATCCTCTGATTAATAGTTTGTGCATTAATAGCACCCCCTTACTTGTTACCACTTATGGTGTTTTAAGGTGTACATGAATAAATAAATAACCCATAAGAACGCTTAGAATAATCTTCATAATGGACTAGTTTTTGCCGATATGTAATAAGTAAAATAAGCTATAAACCAAATAAATCAATTAATTACTAAAATATTAGTTATTAAATTAGAAATAAAACGTAAAAATCTTTAAAAAATGATATAATAAATATATTGTTTGTTACTTTTAAATTAAGATTCATCTCATAAATCCATCACAATCTGGCAGCGCTGTCACCATCGCTTGTCACTCAAAGTTGATCACGTGCATCGGAAATTGTTTTGCGATTACCATATGTAATAGTTTGTTTAGCGAAAAATGCGAATTTTTCATACCAATAAATTGTTCCTTGTATTTCTTTAGTTTTTCGTCGATGACGAAATGCCAACGTTTCGGGTGCTCGCCGTGTCGTATCATCGGGCCGTACAGTTCTGATTTTTTGGAAGCGTGCTCCTCGATAATGTCGCAAGACTTGTACCTTCGGCTTACTCCTTTTTCTTCTAGTTCTAATTTGCGCAATTCTGCAATTGAAATTTTTGCAATGAAAAAATGTCCAAAAAGTAGCAAATAAATGTGGTATATTGTATATTTAATAAGCCCAATGAGACGTAAGATCAGAGTAACACCTAAGATCTTTTAAAAATATAGTACTTCCGAAGTCAATTGGAAATACTGAGACTCTTAATTCCTTTGTCCCGATGATTCCGACAAAGACAGTGCCGAAATTAGTCCCAATCTAAAATCCAATCTGAAAAGAGTCCCAATCTATTCCAAATAACTTCAGATAAACTATACCATGTGTACTCGGAGATATAAAGCTACACGCACACTGGTGCGATCACGCTCGCGATCGCGATCACGATCAGGACAGCGATAACATGAGCGATCATTCTAGCACACACCAACGCGTTCGCGTTCACTGCCGTACCTATATGTCTCATACAATTTTGTCTCAAATTTTCTATTTTTAATTCTATTATTTTTGTAACTTGGATCGGAAAAATCATATAGAATTTTGTGTAGTTTTACAGCCTTAATTAGCTGCTATGTTAACTCCATTTCTAAATTGCAACAAGAAGAAATACACAAAATCAGTTGGGTCGCAATCACGCGATTAAACTCGACAAGTTGAATCTGATCGCCACCGCAGACCGCAGAATAGAACGCCGCCAGGCCGCTTCGTCTCCAAAACTCGATCGCGCCAATGTGAAACGGCTCATATGGATTCTTCAGCAACTTTTGGCCGCGGCCGCGTGGAGGTCGTAATCGCAGCCGTGATCGCACCAGTGTGCGTATAGCTTAATACTTAGATACATATCAACGATTCTTTATACTAGTGCTATAATATTTCGAAGATTTATAGTAAGTACACAAAACTGTAGCTTGGGGGATTGTAATTGAAGATGCGTATTTTTTTGGTGTATTTTGGTGCAGTCAAGCATGAGGGTTTCCACTAAGAAAACCTGCATTGGAGCGTTTTATGAGTTGAATTGTTGAAATTTCCATACTTGGATTGCTAAAGATTTTATTATTGTTAGAAATGAATACGGCCTCTTTAAATTTGCGTTTTTTCTAATGGGGTTCTTCTTGGACAACCCGGGCTTCCGACCCGACCATTTTATGTTGTGGTGCTTTAACCACACATGATCTACAATGCCCGACTTAATTTTTTCACCTCTTTGCGTATGTTTTTATGTTCGTCAAGTCGTACATGTAGAGGATGTTTTGTCTCTCCAATATACGACTCACCGCACCGCAAGGCTCCCAGTAGATGCACTCTTTCTCTTGGTTTGATGATTCCGATTTTCCTGATTCTATTTCCTATTCTCCTGATCTTCTGCGATGTTCACGTATGGAATAGTCAAGGGCGAGAGAGAGAGAGAAAGAGAGAGAGTAAGTCAGACTTACAATTGGATACAATCTTGTCGAGGGATTTTGCAGAGTAACCATTCTAAAGCAAATCGGTTTTAATATTACTTAGTTCAGAATTTAGAGGTTCTGGGTCGCTATACATATTATAATGAATGCTCTATGACATCATATTTTAACTATACCCCTTTTGGTCGCTTCAGAATAGTTCGACTGAGATTGAGAGTTTAAATATTGTCCCGTATGTGTGGGGTTTTCCATATACAGCAGTGCTACTGGATCCATCACTTCTATTGACAAGAACATCCAGAAACGGCAGACAGAAGTTTTTCTGTTTCTCGATCTGTTTGAGTTCCTTCGTGAATTGATATGATTGAGACAGGAATCCAACTGTCTATTAGTTCCATTTCAGATTATAAAGGTATCGTCAACATATCGAAGCCATATTTTGGGTATGATGACTGCGGTACTAATGGCACTGGTCTCGAACCATTCCATATATGTCTATTCGCTATTACTGGAGAACGAGGAACCCAAGGTAAACCATCATTTTGAGCATAAAACTTATCTTTAACATAAGAGTATGTAGACAGCATCGCAAGAGCTCCATCACTCTACTAAGAGGTAGTGAACTCCCTTGAGGAAAAACGTTACGTCATCCCTCATTCTAGCCCCGACGATGTCTAATGATTTCTCTAAACGTTGGTGTACCAATTTTCTACGTCAAATATGACAAATTTGTCTCAAGTACCTAATTCTACGTTTTTAAGTATATCTACAAAGTATTTAAAGTATTTAAATGTCCTAATATATCATCAGGGATAACATTCTTAAGATAAGCTGCAAACTGAACTGACAGAAGTATTCGTCAAGGTAGATAAAAATAATGGTTCGGAAAATGAGTTTATTAAGATGATTTGTTGATGATGATAGTTATTAACAAGTTAAAGCCTGATCAGATTTTTTAATCACTTTAAAATTATGGTTAAAAAATATGAACATGTGGATATGTTTCAGTTATATTTTAGAAGGTAGGTACGATCTAGGAAGCCCTAGTGTGAAGACGCTGTATATAAAAGACTGCATGGCTTTGTTCAGGTGAATACAGGTCTAATCTTTGATTTATAATCATCGGCGACGTTGCAAAAAGGAGAAATTATTTCTTATTCTCTAATTTAACGGATTTTACCTACCTCTAGCGGCTTTATGTCTAATTTTTCTAAGTTTTTCTTCTTTTTCCTTTTGTTTGCGCTCGATAATTTTCATCAACTTCTCATCGTTTCTGGAGTGCGATTTTTCATGAATTTCGGCAAGCATTTCCTCCAACAGGTGCAACCGAAGTTCTTGAATTTCTTTGATTTCCTATAAGCATTTCTTAGTAAAATAGTAATAACAATTTCTGCAAGTTTCAACAAATATTGCAGCACTTTAAAAATACAAGTCTTTTTAATTTAGCAATGCATAAAACCACTAAAAGTAGTGATGTTTCTTAAAAATCGCAAAAATAAAAATCTTCCTTAAAAAGTTGCACTATAACACCCGAAAGTTTTTTACATTATGCCGCTCAACTAGCTGTTAACTTTTTTCAACAGAATTTGATGGAAATCATGTATCATGCCGAGTCAAATATCAAATTACATTAGAAACAAAATTGTTCCTAAAATAGACTGACTACTTTGCGACAAGAAATAAAGACCACCAATTTTATTAATTTACAAATCGTTATTGATTTTATTATTTTCTATATCCCAGACTTTATGTGTCGTCTTTTGTTGAAGTAACGGATATTATATTTTCCTTTATATTTTCTAATTTTTAAAGGTGTTCTCAGACGTCTATTAAATTCAATGATGTGTGTAGGTTCTTTTTCCATAGAAATGAAGATTTATGGAGCTTAACTAACTAGAGGCAGGTGTATGATATCAAACTGAGGAAATGGAGATGGATTGGTCACACATTAAGAGTCCTTTTCACTAATCCGAAAAAGTACCAAAATAAGCGTTCAGTATTTAACGTTTTATGTAAAACTGGCTAGGTACAGTACGTCTGTCCGTTCTGTAGCTACGAGGTATCCGTGAGGGGGGAAACAATATTCTCCCGATGTTTTTCGTAAAAAATAGACGACGCGTCCCATCAATAAAAATTCAACAAATTTGCAAGTAGCCAATAAAATGAGTGGGCGGAGCGATTTGCGGTGACGCACTCGTCAAATCGACGTATAAAATATATTGCTGTTTATTTAAATGTTTTTTGTCCGCATTCCTTTAATAGACACAGATCCAGCAGATGTACAGTATTTGGTATTTTTATACAAATGAAGAAGGAAATTAAAGATAAAGGATTATACTATATCCGTATTGCAGCGCATTTTTAGACAACTTCTTTATTTTTAAGATTTTGATCGTCAAACATCAACAAAATATTCCTTATGTTTGGACTAAATTTTCTCGAAGATAAAGACATAATTTAAATTTTTGCTACAATACGAAAATAGATTGAAGTTTTGTGATTACGGTGATATATAATTTATATGGTTTTGTAACAAATTGCTCGCTATTTTATGGTGAAGCTCTGCAAACCATAATCAAACCGCGTGTGTTTGGAAGTTTGGGTGTGGCTTAACACGAGCGGATCGGGCTAAAAATAACAACAGGATCGGGCTTAAATCAAGGAAAAAAATATATGTTGAATCATCTAGAAATAACTTACTAGTGAAAAGTTAGTTCATTATTTCTCATCTTTTTTGTAACTCGGACGTGTCGGCCTACAGGGAAATTAATGTGCCAATTTCCTCGCCAAAATCGGTGCAGGTTCGCCATTCGTGGGCCCAGAACCGACACTTAGCGTTCCAAAAAATCTCGCAAGAGACAGGCTCTGTGAATGGGTTAGGGGTGCGACGTTTCGGGACTGGAATGACAGTCCCGGAATGAAACATGGCAAGAAAGTCCTAGCAGGGCCATCCAAACGTAGAACAGGAGAACTCTTAAAGGCTGGTAGGAATGAAGCGCTTACGCTCACTGCAGTATTATACACGGGCCACTGCCGGATGAGATCACACCTACAGAGAATGGGACTGGTGGAAGACGCCGAATACCGACTGTATGGAAGATGACAAAACAATGAAGGCACGTTATGTGTACCTGTTTGAGGTGTTGTGAAAATCATAGCAAACCCATGCTAGACCTGTCAGACCTAGGAGACATATCACCCTCAGACATAACGACCTATGTTAAAAAGTTGGGTCTTGAGGGTGAATTTAATGTTCTTTTTCTATTAAAGAACTTGTAGAAACTGAGCCACAATAAGCCCTCGCGGCCGCAGTGGAGTGTCCCGCCTGGGATCCACTCTTAGTCATTACAATACAATACAAACAAGTAACTGTTTTTGAAACAACAAGATTCACATTATATAATCTCTAAGTCTTGACTCAAGACTTAGACGCCTTTCTTAGTCTTTTTATTCAATAAATATTACCTTTTCTCTGAAAGCCCACTCGTCCCTTTCCAGTGCCTCTATGTAGTCTCTAAATTTTTGCAAAGAATTTTCGTCGTTTATGCCTGGTTGGACCGTCTTCTCCCATGCTCTTTTCATTCTTGCTCTCTCTATTAACCAAATTTCGTGCATACCACTGGGCAGTCCGCTTCCTAAAATTGTAGTTTTTCTATTGTATACAGGGTGCTTCAAAAATATGTGTCATCTCTCGTGGGGATATTTCTGAAGTAAAAATAAGATTTATTTTTACATGAACAACATAGGTTCGATTTTGCTTTGTTCCGTAGCTACAGGGGTTAAAGTCTATAGTAAAACATAAAATTTGCAGGGTACAAGTTACTACAAGTGCGATATATTTTAATGCGAAAAAAGTGTCGACATATTGGAATATTTTTTAAAAAAAACATGTGCGCCACTGGCTTTTTTTTTGTTAGCAAATTTGTGTAGAACATAGAAAAGTCGTCTCTTGATATTTTGTCGATTTCGGTTTCCTCGATGAGATAAACACAATTTTATTAATTTGTCTTAATCTAAGTCTAAAAAGCAACCTTTCAATTTTTTTAACGTAACTGGCCAAAGTATGTAATAAGTACTCATTGATTTCTCATCAAAAATGAAAAAATTGGCACCGGGATGCACGTATAGCCGCCCATACTAAAATATGTTAATAAAAAGTTGGTAGGCAGTTCTTTTAGTTTCAAAGTAAAGGAATTTTTCCACTTTTTTTTATCTCAAAAACTGCTACTTTGACTGATTTTGATGTTATTACAAATTTTGTTGCAAATATTATTCCTAATATTAAATTGAAAACCGCGTTTCGCTAGGTACTGTAACTTTGGAGTTACGATTTTTTAAAAATTTTAACCCCCTCCCATACCGCCTTACCAATCCCCCACCCCCACCAAAAACTAATGGCCAAAAGGGTATCACAGTATTTTTGTGCCAAATTTGGTTAAAATCGGTTTAACGGTTTTTGAGTTATCGTGTTACAGACGGACAGACAGACAGACACCATGAAAATATTTTGTATTTAGGTCATTTATGACCAAATAACTCATTTTGAGTGAAATTAAAAAAACCTTTTCTTTGTCGATCTTAATAGCCTACCATACCTGTTGGTATGGTCGGATCCCTTAAAAAAGTGCCTATAAACATACAACTTATATACCATTTTTTTTTTATTTGCTGTAGGTAGCATTGAACAGCAGTATTATAAATTTTAATAAAATTTAATAGTAAATTAGATTAAATAAATAATTTATTATTTAATTTTATTGATTGTGATTAATAAAACTGCCTTTATCTCATCAAGGAGATAGAAATCGACACAATATCAAGGGACCACTTTTAATAGGCAATAAACGGTCTACACAATTTTCTGCTATCAAGAGAGACTTCAGCGGCGCTCAAGTTTTTTTTTTTGTTTTTTAGAAAAAAATATTCCAGTGATAACCTATATGTACGTCGGCACATTTTTTAGTAACTTTTTTCCTCAAAATTTCATTCGAATCGCTAAAAGCACTTGGAAGACAATTATAATAAATCGAAAAATAATTAAGTCTCTACTCCCCTGTAGCCAAGAAACAAAGCAGAATCGGGCTAAAAAATAAATCTTATTTTTACGTGAGGAATCTCCCCACGAAAGATATGCCCTGTATATGCACGTTAAATAATATGGTATATTATTTCTCCAAATCATATCAAGATCGTTAAGTAACTGACCCCATTTTAAGAAATCCAATTTCAAAATTTCCGGATCGCCCTCTCCTATAACTTTATAGGGCGGTTCCCACGGCTGAGTTTGAGCTTCTGATTCCCTATACATCGTTTGGACTTCCATGTCCTTCGTGATTATCACTTCACCTACAAAGAGAAGCAATGAGAGTATTCATAAAATAGTTACAGCTCAGCTGAGGTACTGCTACTAATAAAAAAAATAAGGAAGGCGAGATGGGATATGGCTGGCTTAAGTTCTGGTTCAAAATATATAACGTAGGGCAGATTTAATAATTTGATGGTGTTTTATTTTACGTCACTAATAAATGTTATTAGTTATTAAAATTTTTATTAATTTAATAACAAAAATATCAGATACGCTACTGAAACACCTACGGTTTGTTTTTCGATCCTTGGCAATTATGAAATCTTTATCTACGCCATGTTGGTTTTGATTTTAGAAATGCATAATAATACCTACAGTGGCAGAGCGGGGTTCAATACTTTTGAGGTGCAAATCCTTAAAAAAAGAAATTGTCAGGTATAAGTTTGCGATTGCTGAAAATTCGACTTTTTAAGTGGAGAAAGATACGTCAAAATATTTTTCAATGCCGTTTGATCAATTATAAACTTATGTAATAATAAATTACAATAATTATTAGGTAACCCTAAAGATGAAACACCTCCACTGGATAGGTCGGGTATTTATGAAATTTTATGTAAAGATTGCAATCAGAAATATATTGGGCAAACTAGAAGATCAATATTAGCTAGATTTAAAGGACATATAGCTCAGATAAGATATGGTAGACCGGATAAATCTTGCGTTGCTGGACATATTGTTGATAAGGAACATTGTATAGATATTAATAATTTAAAATTAGTTAAACAAATCTCAGGCAATTAGATGCATATAAGAGCGCCAAAATTAATAAATGTAAAAAAGATAGTATGAACAGAGACAATGGCCCAATTTCTTCCAGTTCTCTGTTCACACTGCTATAGTTTCGGTAATTAATTGTTACGCTCGGTTGGTTTTGACTCGCTTGGCTAGTTTTTGCCACACCTAATCGGTGCCAACTGAGCGAGTACATAAAAACATAATTTCTTCATAATATGGCAACATAAGTATTAGATTAAATTTACAAGAAAGAAAATCCAGAAAAGATCCAGTGGTTCTCAAAATTTTAGCAAAAAATCATTTTTTTTTGGAAATTTTCAAAGTAAAATAACTCGTTATTTTGGATTTATTTGAAAAACGATAGAGAGAAAATATGTTTCTTTTATCGAGATCTACCCCTTAAAATTCTTGCACTTGTTTCTGGGACACCCTGTATAATTATTAGTTAATTCTAAGTGAATATCAGAATTGATTGGTTTACTACACATAACACGCTGGATTTTTGACCGAGATCTACCACACGCTACACAACTCACTATTTTACAGTCTTTTTTTGTAATCCGTAATAGTGTCACTTTTAATTTAATTTCTGATATAATTTCTTTCTATATTTATTATCTCTAAACAATATCAATTGTAGAATAACTAATAAATAACATAAAATAACCTCAAAAAAGCCACATTAAAAGAACATAAAATTTCAAATCAAATTCAAAATGTCAAACAAAACTGTTAAAAATGTTGTTCATAATGTCGATTCCGTTGATATTACACGAATTCATGGATATACATCCCTTAATCTTTTTATTCAAATACCGTACTAATTAGTGATATTAAAGTACTGTCACAAATTACTTTGTGGTACTGTATTATCAAGAAAAAACGCCGTCAAGGACGGCTGGTGAATGACAATCGATGATAATTTTGGCAAGGTCGATCTCTAGACGTCGCTTACTAAAATTTGACATAAAACTTGTCAAAAAACAACACTAATTATAGAAAGATTAAAAAAGGAAGGAACGTTTCCGGACACACAAATCTATTTCCGAAAAATATATTTTTTCTTGAATTTTAACTACGACATCATTTAAATTTATATAGAATAAAAATTATTTTTAAATTATCATCAATTCCCCAGCCGTCTTTGACGCCGTTTTTTTTCGAACGAATGGTATTAACATTATTTTACCTTCCAAATTTTTCTCCGATCGTCTGGCACTCTCAAACCGCCTTATAACTGGCTCTATGGTAAAATGAGGCATAGTGTCACTTACATCCTTAAAGTTCTCGGGGGGCAAGTTGATTATAGGGCAGAAAAACTTTGCCCTGTCCACCCCGCGAACATCCACGCTTTTCCTGACTGCCGCATCGGATTTTCGGGATGCTTCCTCCCTTTCCCTGTAGGATTGGACTTGTTTCTGACGACGCTGCACCAACTGAACCCTGGGATGGTTGGGCAAGTCCGAAAACATGTTGGGAAAAATTGGACATATTTGCTGTAATAAAAAATAAACTAAATAATATTAAATAAAAATAATAAACTGAAATAATTTCAAGTCCGGCTCCGTTTTTTTTTAAATATTTAATCTATTCATCGTTAATCTACGTCCACATAGCTCGCAAGCAGGCCGAACGAACACGTAAAACACGAGAAACATGGCAAATAGTCGGAGCGAGATGTTCACGACGCTCGCGGTACTCCACGTGCTTGCGATCTCATAAAATGCCTGTTTCGACTGTTCGGCTCTGTCGCAGTACATCAAAGAGACGCTTCGGAGTCTTGCGAGCATACTTTACAGTGGTTCGAAGCGCTCGAGCTGTTTGCGTTGTTTTTTAAGTTTTGAGTTTGGTTTCATTCATAGGATTCGGTATTTACTGCAGTATGATGATACTACCATGATTTTTCTTATTTTATTTTGTTCAGAATTACAAATATTTGTGTGTTGTTCTTGGATTAATAATATTAAATATACCATCCACCTCGGCGATACCTAGGAATAGACTGAACAACTCTCAATCTGAACCTGTTCCAACCTCGAGTAATGATGAAGGGCTTGAGGCTCTTTCCATTCCCGAGGCCACAAATACAAGTAAGAAGACGCGTTTTAGATGGTCTGAAGAGATGAATACTCACCTTTACCGCTCTTACTTGCACATCACAAAAATGGAAACAAACTCTGAACCATACGGGAAAAGGTTGCATGAGGAAATAATACGCAGCTTTCCAGAGCTTGCCGTAAAGACGATGCAAAATATCCTGGATCAAAGAAAGCAGCTTTTTAAAAAAAATCGACTACATCCAGACACAACTAAAAAGATCCGTCAAGAAGTTGCTGAAGAACTAGGATTGAACACCACTCAGGCTTCTGAACCTATAATAGATACAAGGGATCAAGAACACGAAGATAGACAAAACGCAGAAGACCAAGTAACAGAAATTGAGCGGGAACCAATTATTGTAGAGACTGAGGAAACCAGAACATTCCAGATACTTCAAAAAAATATCCTTCTATATAGTGGTATGAATCCAAGAATGAGACCTACTATACCCAGACTAAAAACTTCAAATCAAACAAAGAACATAATAAGTACCGTAAACAACGTGTTAGCGCATATCATTAATGACTGTAATGATATCATTACTCTGCACGACTACATCTATTCGGCAGCGGTCACAATAACAGAAATGCATAACCAAACCACCACAACAGCTCACAGTACCAGATCCAAATCAAGGCAACCGGCATGGCAAACTAGATTGGAGAAAAAAATTGAGTGGATAAGAAAAGATATAGGCATTCTTACACAATATACAACGTCGACCAAGCATACATCAAGAGTAACGAGGAAGGTGAACATCATAATAGATAAATATAAAAATGACTATAACAAGACAGCAGCGGAAATATTAGACTACATCAAGCAGAGACTACAAATATATGCCAACAGAATGCGCAGATATAAAGAAGCATACCAAAGAAGAATTGATAATAAACTTTTCCAAAACAATCAAAAAGCATTTTATAGAAAGATCCAAAATCCATACGATCAAGCGCATAACAATAATACACCCACAGCAAAGGAAACTCGTGATTTTTGGTGTAAGATATGGGAAGAACCTGTCAGACATAAAGAAAATACAGAATGGATAAGACGTGAAACAGAGCGAATGAGCAACGTTCAAAAGATGCCTGCACAAAATATTAGCAAAGAAGATGTAAGACGATGCTTAACAGGAACACACAACTGGAAAATGGCGGGACCAGACAAGCTCCAAAACTACTGGTATAAAAAACTAACATGCATTCATGAGAAGATAGCAGCAATACTTAACGACTTTCTTAAACAGCCGAACACCATACCAAAATTCCTCACAGAAGGCAACACCTATCTCTTACCTAAAACCACGACATCTTCTAGCGATCCATCGAAATATAGGCCTATAACCTGTTTGCCTACACTCTATAAGTTACTAACAGGTATTTTATGTAATAAAATATATGAACATATTGATACCAATAATCTGATGACTCAAGAACAGAAAGGATGTAGGAGGAAGGCTCAGGGATGTAAAGACCAACTAATAATCGACGCAGTAATCATGGAACATGCGAAAAAGAATAAAAGAGACCTGCATACAGCATTCATAGACTACCAAAAAGCGTTCGACAGCGTGCCCCACTCCTGGCTGATAGAGAGTCTTAGGCTGTACAAAATCGATACACAAATTGTTACACTACTGGAAAGCCTTATGAATTCATGGAAAACGAACCTGATATTGAATAACCAGACCACAGACATTTCGATTCATATTAAACGGGGAATATTCCAGGGTGATGCACTAAGTTCCCTCTGGTTCTGCATTGCATTAAATCCATTAAGCAGCATGTTAACCCACACGGACAGTGGATTTAAGATATCTGAAGAAAATGTGAGTCACCTTATGTATATGGATGATATCAAACTGATATCCAACACACAAAATGGTCTAAATAAACTTATAAGAACAACTGAAGAATTTTCCAATGATATAAGAATGAACTTTGGCCTAGAAAAATGTAAAACAAACCATATGAAAAGAGGAAAATGGTGTCAGTCAGATGACTTCATCCTTCTAGAAGAATCAGGAGGAGGAACTGTGAGATCTATGGATAAACATGAAACATACAAATATCTAGGGTTTATACAGTCACAGGGAATTAATGGCAGTGAAATGAAAAATCAAATAAAGAACACATTCAAGACCCGATTAAATGCTGTCATGAAGACCCAGCTCTGCGGAAGCAATAAAGTCCAAGCTACAAATACATTTGTAATGCCAACGATAACATATAGCTTTGGAATCATTAAATGGACCCCTACAGAACTGGACGAACTAAACAGGTCTGTTAGAACCACGTATACACAATATCGATCCCATCATCCAAAAGCATGTAAAGAACGTTTCCATCTTCCAAGAGATATAGGGGGGCGACGCGTCATGGATCTGCGACTACAACATAAAAAACAAATTAAAAACCTACGAACGTATTTCCACACGATGGCATCAACATCAAGCCTCTATGATACCATAAGCAAAACAGATAAAAAATTGACGCCTCTGAATCTTAGTAATAAAGAAATGAATATAGATGCTGGTTACACAATAGCTCTGCAAAAAAGCAAGTGGCAAGGAAAAGAGCTACATGGCCGATACCTCAACACACTTGATCTGGACAGCATTCATAAGCCAGCTTCAGTAGCATGGCTGACACACGGAACGATTTTCCCACCAGACAGAGGGATTTATGTGCGCAATTCAAGACCAAGTAATAGCCACAAGATCATACCTAAAATATATAATAAAGGACCCCACAATTAAAACAACTGTATGCCGAATGTGCGGAGAAGGAAACGAGAATATAGAACACATTATTAGTAGTTGTACAACACTAGCTTCAAGAGAGTATACCGACAGACATAACAACGTAGCAAAAATAATACATACAGAACTTAGTTTGAAATATAAATGCATTAACGAGCGCATTCCATATTATAATTATGTCCCAATGAACGTCCTAGAGAATGATGCTTGTAAATTATATTGGGATAGAGAAATATTAACAGATCGGACTGTGCAACATAACAGACCAGACATATGTCTGCTGGACAAACTCAAAAAAGAAATCTATCTTATTGATATCGCTGTCCCTGCCCCTACAAATGTCAACCGAAAACATCAAGAAAAGATCGACAAATATACCTTACTAGCACAGGATATGAAAGAAGTCTGGGGAGTGGATAAGGTGTCAGTGGTGCCTATAGTGATTGGATCAACTGGAGAAATCCCCAAGCAGCTCCTTCACAATCTGAAAAAACTGGAATTTAACCAAAATCTTTACATACAACTTCAGAAGTCAGTTATTCTCGCAACATGCAACATAATGAGAAAAGTATTAAACTTGAGAAGATAGCTAAAAACCGATTTACTTACCGTGTAACGTGACAAAAAAAAATAAAAATAAATATACCTTTAATAAAATATAACCCTATGTTTATATTGCCTACTTATCTTAATCTGATCTTTGAGAACTTTATTTATATTTTGGCATTCGCCTGGTATTATTTTTGAAATGCTTTGCTTGGAAACTTTGAATAAATAACCCAAACTGGTATGTGGCTCTCTAGCTACAAGGAATCTTAATGTTATGGCTAATATTTATTTAACTCTTTCTTTAATCGCAATACACTTCCTAAAAGTTGTATTTTTTCTTTCTATACGGGGCCCCAAGTCTTTCAAAATCAGTAGTGGACATGCGATAAAAAGCATTCTGTCTGTTTCTAAATCGCGTAGATGTGTATTTTCACTGTGCTTGGATCTACTTTTGAAATTATTAAACACCAACACCGCCTTTTTTCTCCTTGACTTCTTCTTTTTACAATAATGATCGCACTAGTAGCCGCTATTAAAAATACTTCAGTATCATCCATGTCCGAACAGCACGAACGCAAGCACTACATTACAATGTGGACGCCGTTATTTGCGAGGCGAAAGATCTTGAGAAACACGACAAACAGGAACCGCAAGCAACGCAAGCATAACCAGAAGCAAGAGCGCGAGCAGGATTACGAGCAATGTGGACGCACGTTTACAATATTGATAAGCTTTCAAACTTAAAAATGACGTGGCGTAAAAAATTAAATGCAATAAGATAATAAACAATAATATAATATAAACAATCAAATAATTTCCTAGGAAGATGGTTTGTAAATGGTAGAGCAGTATAATGGCCGGCGAGGTTCCTGGACCTGTCGCCAAGGGGCGGGGGGACATTACTTGGCGTCATTTGTAAAAGTGAAATCAGTACATCTCAATATTTACAATAAAGAGTACAAAATGCATTCGGAAATATAAGAAGAAAGTTCAAAGAGCTATAAATAAAATTGAAAGAAAAATAAATTTGTGCACTAAGGAGGGTAATAACCCTTTCGAACATGTAGAGCATTAGAAGGTAGTTTGTTGAACTTGGTTTATTTATAGTAACTACGATTAGTATTATGCATATTATTAGATCGTACATTGAGATTTAAAATTCACAATAAAAAAGTTAAAAATAATATCTTTAAATTGCTGACCTAAATATTACTTATTTCAATCTATCAATTGGCTCAATTTTCCTTATTCAATGTTAATTAGCGCTGATCAATATTTTTGCGATAAATATAATCAGCTCAAATAATTTAAAAAACCAGAGTCGGACTTGAAATTATTTTAAATAATAATTAAATTGTTTTGTTGTTGTTAAGGTACCCAAAACAAAAAAAAAAGTATATAGTGTGGCATATTATTGCACTCAGGTGATCGAGTTCTTTCAAAACCTGAAATAAAAAAATGCAGATCCGTGTTTAAAAAAATTAAGTTGGCCTCTGTATCTCACAAATTATCAGCCAATTTGAAAATATAAAAATACCTCAGAAAAAAATCAGATAGCCCTAATGAAGTGGCTATGAGAATATGCAATTAGTTTTTTGATCTTCTAAAAAGTAACAACAGGGAAAAATAAAATTTAATTTCAAAAGAATCCTTGTTGGAGCACCCTGTATTGTTTCATTCTTCTAAATATTTTCGATTCAGAAAATATTTCTAGTAAGTGCAAGAGTTGCAAGAGTCTTACAGCAAGACCAAGACCAAGATTACTTACTAGGCTTCAAGACCAAGACAAAGAAAACCATGGTCTTGGTCTTGCATTTGATCATCACTAGATACAATATTTAAATTTGTAGAATTGTCTTACAAATTTGACTGAGGACATTTTCGCGACGATAGCAGCTTTGTAGTGATCAACTGGTCCAGAAACAGTAAATATTGGATCTAAAAATAAAGGTTATTAGTATCTAAGTACGAACATATCAATATAAAATCGTACCGTACATATAATCGTGTGGTCTGTATGGAAAACACCTCTTATGGGTGTTGCGGGTCATGTTCAACATCTTTGCAAGATTTTTTACTTCTTATTTTGCTGGATTAACAAATAGTTTCTTTGTTTTCACTTTGACATAAGGCCCATTTAACCTTTTTTAATTTCATATGATGTTCATAGTATGACACTGATATTCATGGTAACATTATTTGTTAAATCGATACCAGAATATACAGGGGTTGTAGGCAACTAGTTGATTAAACGATATGTTATACTTATGGCAAACCTTATGGGTTATACTTTAGATACAAATTTATAGGTAATTTTCAGGTTTACAAGGTGTCCCATTTTCATGTGTATTGCAGGGTTTCTAGTTCTACTCTAGTACTAATAGGGCTACGTTTTTTATGAAACTAAAAAATGTTATACGCGGAGACTAGCTCTCTTAGTTCTTGAATTACAGGGTGGAATTCAAAATATTTCGTTTTTTGACACCCTTCGTATCTCTATGAAAACTGTCCCAGAGTGTTTTTCACGTAGAATTCAGTGGTGTAACTACAATATGATCGAAAAAAAACGGCGTCAGCGATGGCTATGAAATGAAGATCGCTCTCATTTTAAATTTAAAATTATATGGGAAATGTCATTGATCGCGCCATTTCCAACTGGACGCCACTTTTTTCTCGATCATACGGTATACTTTTACTTCGAGCTGTTATTTTTGAAATATGACCCAAACTTGTTATTTAAATGGGATACCCTGTATATTATATTTTTATTTTATTTTTAAAAAAGGTACCTAATCAAAAAAATCGAATAATTTATTCGACGTCAAATTTAGGTTATTGTCTATCCCACTCTAGTTTCTGTGTATAGAATTATTTTACAAATGCATTAAAAATATCAATAATTCTATTTGATAGCGTGTTATCTAAAAGCTGCACAAGTTTATTAAGATAACTAAATGGAAAGCAAAATTATATGGTTAAATTAAATTAAATAAAATTATAATACCTTTTTAAACTAGGTTTATTCTATGCTAAAAAATGCATTTTTTAACTTGTTTATGAAAATAAGTATAGAATATATTATATTTTCAGAAAGTTCATGACAATACAAATACAATTAAAAAAATAATATACAGTGTGTCCCATTTGAAAAAAACATAAGTTTCAGTCATATTTCGGAAATGACAGCTTTCAGTTAAAAACTAGTCACGCCACTGGTTTTTACGTAAAATACTCTACGAGACTCAGTTTTCACTTTTTCGATAATTTATAAGATAATCGAGATACAAAGGGTATCAAAAAATGCAACATATTAGTACATACAAATTTGAAAAAGTTGTAATTATGCATAATTTGTTCAGGTATGATTCGCATATAATTATCATATACGTATCCTACCTGCATAAATTATTCATATTCATAATATTGCAAATTTGAATTTTTTCAATGCCCGTTATCATCGTAACCTTATTGTAAATATTAATATACGGGCTTGGCAAAAGAGAGTGTTGGGAAGGCATGAAGTCAATGAAGATATTGGAATAATTTACTGGGAGGTTGTTAATTAATATTGGGGGTTGCTTTTCAAATAGTTAAACTTTGATGTGCCATGACTTTGACCGACTCTGTATATTTAAATTTACAATTACAATTACTCGCTAATAGACTTTTAAAAGCCCTATAACTTTTGTATTTAACTTTTTGCGGTACCTCGTATATTTACCTAATAATCGACCGTTCCCATACATATCAGCGACTTATGTATACAGGGTGAGTTTCCTACGATGTTCTCTATGGGTATCTCGGAAACTACTGGAGATAGAGAGTCGGTTAAATGAGGAAAGAATTGCAGTTTTGTGGGGTCATAAATATGCGCCTTTCAGATTTTTGAAAAAGTTCATGGCTTACTAGATATTTCGAAAAAAACAAATTTCGGCTATTTTAAAAATTGTCCCTAATTCCATTATAAGCTATTTTAGACAAAAAGTTTTCAGATAAAAGTTGTAGATAATCACATCCTTAATGAGACTGTGTCCTGCGTTTTTTTCTAAAGCCTGTCATTTTTGACATATGACACAAACATATGTTTTTTTAAATGGAAACCATAGTTGGCCACGACTTCATAAAAAGCGTCATTTTTTAAGCTTTTCAGTGATATAAGCTATAATATGTTTTCTTCGAAAAATTACTGAGTTATAGCCAATTCTTATCATTTTTAAATAATTTCACTTATGTAGCCATGGAAAAAAGTTTAATCGTCGTTGCTCTCATAAATGTGAAGCTGTCACATCCAAACTTTGTAAATTAAAATAAACAAAAATTGTAAATATAAATTTTTCAAATGAAGAAAAGCGTGTAGGATTATTGGTTCACCTTTTCTTGACCATACATTTTCGAGGATACGTTGACCGGTGAATGTTACGTTTTTTAGAGAATGGTTTTCAAGACATGTTAGAAAAGTTAAATTTAGTTATAGCCAATTCTTATCTTTCTTGACTAATTTCACTTAGATTGCATGGTATTCTTATTGTGTTATGATTTATAACTTAAAAGTCAGAATATATTACTAAACGGGTCTTTACAATTTACATTACACAAACTAAAACTTAAAAAAGTAAAATCACTACATACACTTTAAGTTATTTTAGAAAATGTTCAAAAAATCCGCCATGGTTTTGAGTTGCATCTTTTTAAAACTGAATTACTACCTATTCTCACAGAAGCACCGGTCGACTTAATTAAACTTTTCTCGTACCGTCACTTCAAGTGCCTCCCTTAATTCATAAGTTCTTTTGTAAACCTTATTGTTAACTATACCGCATAAAAAATTCTAAAATGGATAGGTCCGGTGATCGAGGAGGCCCATGCAATTATTTGCATATTGCACATTTTATTTGCATAATTATGATATAAATAATTTTTAGCATTTCTTTCATTATGGGGGTGGTGTGTCATAATGAAAGTCATGTTGCAACCACTCTATTGATGTGCGAGATCTACACGCTTTTCTTCATTTGAAAAATTCATATTTACAATTTTTGTTTATTTTAATTTACAAAGTTTGGATATGACAACTTCACATTTCTGAGAGCAACGGCGATTGAACTTGTTTCCATGGTTAACTAAGTGAAATTGTTTAAAAATGATAAGAATTGGCTATAACTCAGTAATTTTTCTAAGAAAAGATATTATAGCTTATATCACTTAAAAGCTTAAAAAATGGCGCTTTTTATGAAGTCATGGCCAACTATGGTTTCCATTTAAAAAAAAACATATGTTTTTGTCATATGTCAAAAATGACAGGCTTTAGAAAAAACCGGAGGACACAGTCTCATTAAGGATGTGATTATCTACAACTTTTATCTGAAAACTTTTTGTCTAAAATAGCTTATAATGGAATTAGGGACAATTTTTAAAATAGCCGAAATTTGTTCTTTTCGAAATATCTAGTAAGCCATGAACTTTTTCAAAAATCTGAAAGGCGCATATTTATGACCCCACAAAACTGCAATTCTTTCCCCATTTAACCGACTCTCTATCTCCAGTAGTTTTCGAGATACCCATAGAGAACATCGTAAGAAACTCACCCTGTATATACTTATGAACAATTTTAAATTTATGTGTCTATGTTTTAACGTAATTTTTACTGTTACTACATGCTTGTATCATTTATCTATATTGTTGTGTATGATATATATGTATATTATGTAACAAGATTTTTGTTAGCTAGTAGTATAATTTAAAAGTTTTGTATTAGGAACTCCTATTTTGGGAATTAAATAAATAAAATATACGAAAATGGGACACCCTGTACAATCTTTTTAAAATATTTTCCATTTTTGGCACTTCTGGTTTAATTATATGTAGATATATTTCTGATGGTATAGTTCCAAGAAAATGAATAAAATGTGGAAGAGATCAAAATATATACTGGGGGCAATAATCACAACCACACATATTTCAAAAATTTGGTAAAATGTTTAACTTCTATTCTCTCCCCAACAATACAGGGTGAACAGAAATGTTTTTAATCAAAATAAAACACTCCAAATTATGAAAAACACCTGTTTAATGATATTCAAAATAACATTTTAACATATGTCTCTTTTTGTCACCTAGTCTATTTACTCAATATACAATACATAAATTTCTACACACTATATAACCTATATTTTACATAAATAAATTAAGATATCAGATTCTTTAATGTATAATTATATTTCTCACTGTCTTTTCTCTAATCGAATAAATGTTCAGATTAAAAAATCTCACTCTATTCTTATATATTCATATTATAAATATTTAATGATAGATTCTTCTTACGTACTAATGTCGAAATGATTGTTTAATGTTTGTTAAGCATGTACGTTACTGTATATGTATAGTAATATAACATATTTGTAATATTAAATTATAACAAAATAATTTAGATAATTTTATACAAGTACATATAATTTTTTTACTAATAGGAGGCATAATATACTGCCAAAAAAATCATTGATTTAGTTGGACCACAGCTTACTCAGTACCAGCACCAGCTGGTCTCGTATACATGTCAGCAGTGAGAGCACCAATAATAAACCAGTTTACAAACGAAGTTTTAGTGTAGTTGTTAGACAAAATAACCAAATATCTAGGTAGATACGTACATTTACATGGAAACGATCTATGTCGGCAGGCTGGTTATGAACAGGTTGTGGTTCAGCTATAAAAACATTTTAAATAGTTTATTAAATAGTAAAATTAACTAAAACTCTTTATGGTTATTGTATTGTATGTGATTTCTATTGTTTCAGTTGGAAGCATAGAGTGAAGTTTACTTATGATTATTTTTATATAAAAGTATTTAATTTTTCAACCAATAAACCAAGAAAAAGTATTCATGTTTAAATAAAACGTTGTATATCATAAATTCATGTAATTCGTCCTGCATTTTGTTAATATTCTGAAGAGTTTGATAAAAATAGAATATTAGCGCAGGTAACATATGTTTGTTCTCTGTCATATTAGGATAATTTAATGGTGAAATACTTTAAATACACAATGATTCTAAATAAATAAATATCTCTATGATAGAGTACTAAAACTGTTGATTGAAATAGTATACTCAAAAAAATTATAGGATGTAATTCAACCATAAAAAAGTATAATCTAACAAAATGAATAAATTTCTGGAAATAAACAAGAAAAAAATGTAGGTAATTCCCTAATTAAAACTCAATTTGCAAAAAAGACTTAAGAGCACATAATAGACTAGAATTAAATTATAAGTTTGTGTATATAGAACAATAACTCGTGTAATTATATTACCTACTTCTTCGTTAAATTAACTCTTCATGGTTGATTTTATCCAGTTTTTTGAGTGATTATTTTTTCATTCAACACTTAAACTCTGTACAAGGTTGTTCAACAGATTAAAATACATTTCAACAGATCATCAAATAAGTAACTGAAAAACTCTATAAAAAAAATTCTGTAAATTATTTTTAAAGTTTTTATGGTCGTGTGGTGATACAATTTTTTCTTTGACTATTTTGCTAGATTCAAGAATTTTTTGGGGATATTTTATAATATCACCCTATAAAACGTCAAAGTTGGATTGGTCTCTGTCATTCTATATAAAATTATATGGTAAATCGGTTATATGGTAATTAAATAGTCGTCATCGATCATCATTTTCAAGCCAGCTTGACATCTTTTTTTTTCGATCATATGGTATTTTCATACCTATACACTTTTATAAAATATTTCAACATTTTATAAACATAGTTCTTTTCATAAATTAATAACGTGTTAATACTACATATGGGAAAAATACTTATAATTTATAACATGTTTATATGAAATTTTCAGCTCAGAATCAGTTTTAAAATTAAGTACAGGCCATCAAAATAAATAATATACAGTATCTCCCCGGATTGTCTTTACAAGAGGAAAAACTTTTTTATTATTGATATTTTGAGAAAAATGCATTCTTTATAAAAAAAATTGCTTGTTCTCAAATGGTTCATCCCGTTTATACTTTTCCAAATTTCCATACTGTTTTAGAGAAAATAAAAAAAAAACACGAAAATGCGGTTGAATTTAAAAAAGGGCGTTTCTATGGTAATATAATTCCCATTTCATTCTTTGATAGCTGGTTATTATTAATTTTTATTAACGTCATATATTTTGCTGTTGTTAAAGTATCATATTTTCCGATAACTAATATCGCCCTTTCCGTAGCATTAAACTAAATACATTTTGTGCTTCTTTGACATTTTAAAACAGCAAAAATATGACGTTAATTAAAATTCTATCAATAACATTCTATCAAAAGTACTTAGTAGGTACAAAAGACTTAGTAAGAATTCAACTATTGTACTTATATTTTCATTTTTTTTAATTTTCTCTAAAACGATACCGAAATTTGAAAAAGTATAAACGGGATTAACCATTTTAGAACAAGCAACATTTTTTATAGAGAACAAAAAAATTGTTTCCTCTTTTAAATACAATCCGGAGACATACCTACTGTATAAAGATTCTCCATCTTTCTTGCTATAAATCTTATCACGTAACTTCTTCCAAGATGATCCGTCAAAGATATAAATATTGGTAGTTTTTTTTAATAATTTTAAGATAGTGTGAATAAAAGCAGAGGCCGGCTAAATTCAAATTATTTAATAGACAATACTCGATGAAAAGTATCGCGAGAAGAACTATAAGAAGAGAAGAAAAATAAGTTATCCCAATTAGTTATCTATTTAACATTGAACAAAAAGACTAAAAAAGGCGCATATCAACAAAATTAGCTCGACCGCGATGGAGCTTTAATATGGCTGACTTAAATTCCGGTTTATCAGTGGCGTTCTATTTTTTTTAAAGTGTTGATAAAATATAAATTAGGGCTCAGTAATCTGCTAAAAGTTTTATTTTCAAGTAAGTCAATAAATAACGTTAGTACGCATTAAAATTGTTAAGTGTTAAAAAATATATTTCTAATAAAAATAAGCAAGTTAATATAATTATTCAATAACAAAAGTTATAGATACGCTACTGAAACAACTAAATAATAAATAAATGCGAAAATGCAAGAACGAAAACTAATAATTAGTTAACTTTAACCAGATTTCATAAATTATTGATTTACTATTCATAACGTATATCATATAGGTACATAATTACTTACTAGTGAGAAGTTGCCCCTATCTAAAATTTACATTAATCTCACTATAAGTCAAATCCTCACACAACGCTTTTCCAGATTTTCACACTATGTATAAAACCAATTTTAAAATAAACAAGAAATAATAAAAAAAAACACAGAAAAGAGTATCAAACTCGCAAAAAATCAAAATTTATCAATATAAGTAAAACAAGAAATTAAAAGAAACAAAAAAGATGTAGTAATAGTAAAAGTGTTCCGTCTATAATGTATGAATATAAAAATAATGCATAGGAAAATCAATAAAATTTGGCATGAACGTCATCAAAATGTTTGACGAATGCAGGTCGCAATGTTGCCACGACGATGTCTTTTGCAAGTGCGCTTACAAAAAATCGTTCCTAACGATTTTTTATTTATTAGAAATTTATTTTGATAATAGTTCGACGTCTTTGATGACATTCACGTCGCAACTTTTATTGGTTGCTTTAAACGATTCTCTCGTTAATCTTTTTGTCCAATGATTATCTCCCTACTTTAATATTACAAATATATTACAATACTTTAGGGCCTATTTACAAAAATGCCGTCTCCCGCTTGGCCCAAATATTCCGACCAGCCTTGCGAACCTTTCGGCAAAAATCTGACACATCTCGCTTTGATGTCCCTGTCATAACTGCTGTCGCAGTTACACGTTATCCTCATTCTGTAGACGGTCATCTGTCCTAATTTCAACTGGACCAATTGGTTGAAATATACGAAGTTACTTCTCAGGGCGTCCTGTTCGTCTTGGCATTCTTTTTGGAACAGGGCGTTCTGTTCGGAGGCTGTAGTTTTCTCATCTGGAATATATAATATACAGAGTGGACATAAATATGTGCGAAAAAATATAATGATATCAAAAATAAATGGGTATTTTTTACAGAGGTTTTCAAAAAACATTGTCCATTCTCTGTTCCCACCCTTTCAATTTGTACTTCCACCATGCTCATTCTTAACCCTGCCTACACACGTACGAACTTTATGCTGCTTTGTATTTTGTCTCTCTGTCTGTTAACTGGTCATATACCGGGTGCATCTCAAAAGTGGCTCACCCCTATAACTTTTTTATTTTTTCAGATAAAAAACGAGATTTGTTATGTTAGTATATGACATAAATTAGGATTGATTGACTTATTCAATTGTTTTTGGTCACTTCCTGTTTCAGCGGAAATGTCTACAACTTTTGATTTTTAAACGGCACCCTCCGTATATTTCTACTTTATTCGATAGAATATGACACTCTGAATAGAATGACATATAATATGTCAACTTTTGACATTTCCGCTTACAAATAACCGTATTTTAAGTTGCAATCTAGAGTGTCATGGCTAATAATAACTAATTTTTAATCAAGGAGCCTTGGAAAAATAGATTTGATCGTCTAATGTTTTTCGTATCTTGTCCCCTGGCCGGTTAAAAGATGCACATTTTAATCATATCTCAACTTTTCCAAATGGAACAAGGGTGGCTCATTAGCATATTTTGGAAAAAAAATCATTTTTTTACGAATAATTTGGTACTACACACTTGGTATTTCTAGTCAAATTGTTGTTATGTACCACATATTACAATTTCAAATAAACCATACATACCAAACATACCAAATCTCGTTTTTTTATCTGAAAAAATAAAAAATTATAGGGGTGAGCCGCTTTTGAGATGCACCCTGTATCTCAAAATCTTTGTCGTATGCATTAAAATACAGACCACGTAAATAAAGTGACCAATATAGTATGTATATATTCTAATATCTACTAACCTGGAGATACTTGAAGAAATTTGGCAGCCATACATTCTTCTATATCCGTTCTCAATAACGATTCCAAAGAACTTTGTACAGGTTGCCAATATTTTATGAAAACCACATCGATTGTATTGGAAAAATTTGCTGATGCAAGAATTGCTCCTAAAGAATAGAGAAAAATCGTATATGAAAGTAGTTAATAGATTTCTTATAGTCTAGAGTAGAAAATATGATTTCGATAGATGACATCCTAAAAAATTCATAAACAAGATGTAGATGTAGATAGCGATGTAATCACAGCGACTTTATAGGGCTATGAACTATTGTGCCCCCCTTTCTTGAGTTATAACTCATCGTACAGTCTCAGGGCTTTGAAAAAGGCCAGTATCTGAGACGGTTTTACAGAGCTTAGTTCTTAATCTGCGACATCAGCCATACCAAAGTTTATGGCACGGATGATATTCATCTCCGCGCACTCAGTGATGAGGTGTTGTGTTGTTTCCCCATTTTCCCCAAAGAGTCGGCATTCGCCGTTATTTCTTAGCTTTAATTTACTGAGGTTTTCATTGAGGAGACAGTGTCCTATTTAAAACCCCGTGACTATTTCTTGTTTTCGATAGTTCCTATCTATTCTATCTAAGATAAGTTGCAAGCATCTTTCGATAGAGTAGATTATTGCCTGCTTTTAAATTAAAACAATTGCTGTCAATCGTTTTAATGTAAAAGCAACATAAACAACATACCTTTAAATTAAAACGATTAACAGCAATTGTCATTTCATATTTACTAAAATATAATAGTCTTATCCTCTACTTCTAACTTACCTACTGAGGAGACTTTGGGCTGGGTTTCCCAAATATTACTGGGAATACTAATTTGTCTTTTGTCTCTCAAAAATCCACTCTCATCTTGCTCGTTCAGTTCCTTTTCATTTTCCAAATCCCACAAAGTAGTGGAACCGTTCAAGATGCCGTTTTCTTTTTCGTCTTCCAATATCTTCTTGACGTCTATTGAGTCAACTTGGCCAACTAGATGCGAGTTAACGTCACGTTGTTCGAATTTGGCTTTTTTCAATCTGCAATATATTTCAAATTAAAATAATTTAATATTGTAAAAGGGCTAAGATGATTACAAAATTATTTCTATTTTCATAGAGCCACTCTGCTGAAAAAATATCAAAATCGACTGGTTGTTTAATGAATACTGTTCTGTGCTTTATTACTAAACCCTTATACCTATTTTCCTCATTTTTGAAGTACGTGTCCCTCAGAATATCCGTAGGCAAATTTTCCTGATCGTTCAACAACCGATCCTTAGCCAGTCGCACGTTTCTGTACCCATAGATTTTATCCGACAGATTCTTCTTTGTCGATTTGGGAAGCTTTGACGGTTCCATGGTTCCCATCTTCGCTATATTCAGCTTCTTCTCTTTGCTCCTCGGATCCCGATTGGCCTGGGCCATTTTGGACTCAACTTCGTCGAACAGCATTTGTTTTTGGTTGTAGGGGATGGTGTCGTCACCTAGATTGTAGTTGGAAAAATCCGAGTCCAGGTCGTCTGGTCCTGACATCCAGATGTTGTAGTCAACCTGTGATTGATCGGGAAGTCTTGTGTCCTGAAAGAGCATTTTAAGCGTTACTAAAGAAAGTTTTAAACCTTAGCAATTAAATCATGGCACAAAAGAAGCCGAGAGTAACTATCCAATCACTTGCAAGAACCAGTTTTGATTGCTTCGGATTTTTGATGGTATTGATTTGATTTCTTTTAAACTTTAATAAGATTTTGCTTAGACATAAGGTGCGCGAGCATCGAAGAAGAAATTGTGAAACTTTCTGAATATCTGCTTGTGTCTTAGGGTGCCCATTCACATACAGTTCGCCGGCAGTCCAGAATCCAGAACTGTCGATTTGTAAATTGTCAGTTAAAATTTCTCCATACACATACAGGCCGTCGACAGGTCTGAATCTGCAGATCGCAATCTCATGGCCGACTGAAGTGTATGGCGAAAAATCGACAGTTCTAATCGTACGTTCCCATCTTTTGACAAGTTGGAGATTTTGTACTATAAAGATGAGCGATTTAAGTTGTAATACTACTTTTTTAACCGATTTTATTGATTTGTATAGGCAATTGCTCTTTCTGTAGAAAATTAAAAGTAAAGTTTATTCAAACAGACAGAAGAAAAATAAAGCTTATGAAAAATTGTTGGAATTTTATAAAACTGTTAATACAAATGTTGATACAACTATTGATTCTGTAAAGAAAAGAATAAACAATTTGCGTAGTGCTTTCCGACAGAAACTTAAAAAATGCGAAAATGAAAGCGTTCAGGTCAACCGTTTTTGTATTTTTCTTTGATATTATGGGCTTAACCATCATTAAAAGTTTATTAAAATATGTGTCATTCATTCTGAGGTAGTTTTTAATCGTTCATCTGGGGTTGCACTAGTTCTTAATTTTCGCACTTCATATGAGATAATGAACCCGTCTTTCACCAATCTTTCACCCATATTTCACTAATCTTTTACCCATCTTTCACCCAGAAATGCTTTTTCTTCTTTGTAATTGGCTCTTGCAGTAACAAAAGCACGAGAAGTGCATTTTTTGTATTTAAAAACATTTTTCACTTCAAGATCATTCGACTAAAACTGACGATATGTTTGTGTATGTGTGTGGTGAAAGCACAGTTTTCCTTCAGTTCAAAAACTGACAGTCCCACAACTGAAGATCGCATCGTTCGACGTAAGTGCATTGTGTGTGGGCCTGACTAAGTCTAGATCTTCAGTTCAGATCGTACAGTCCTAGAACTACCGACGAACTGTATGTGAATGGGCACCTTTAAAGTTATTAGATTTTTCGAAAATGATACGATTGGAGAATGGAACCTAAAGATTAAAATAAGACCACAATAAATCTGAAGCTGCCAGTGAAGTAAGCCAACAACCACTTCATAGAAATCTATTGTAACTAATCTATGGTCAGCTTAAAATCTAGTAAACAGGATTGTAAGGAAAATATTTTTCAGAAAACTTTGTAAATACCTGATCTGTTATCGACAACTGAGGCTCATTTATACTCAAACTCCCTCCTTCTCCATTTTGAGCAGGTATATTGAATTCTTTAACGATTCCACTCGGTCTGTCTTTGTGTCTAAAACTGGATTTTCCATATTTCCTTATTCCTATTGGAACTGGATCACCGCTATAGCTTTTAGGGATTTCCGATTGTCCTTTTTCTTCAACCAATCGAGTAGCGTAGTTTACCTTGGGAAGCTCATGGGTTTTGTAATAATCTTTCACCTTCATTGTGGTTGATTTCGTTTTATACTCGTATGCTATTTTTGATCCTAAAATTAACAGGTGTATATTACAATATACAGTGTGACCAAAAGATCTAAAAAACGCGAAACTTTTTGTTTATGGTGGTTAGTGTTGTTATAGATGGAACGCGACAGCATCTTAAAACACTAATTCGGATTGATTTGTGTAATTTTAGGATTTTACCTGAATTATAGAGAATTATCCCTGGCGGTTGGTGATATTCATTTAAAGCGTTCAATTTCACCACAGTAGTTGAATTGAACTGTTTACTGCATTGGTCAAAAGACTTCTTAACCCGATCACTGACGCTTTGTATGTCCATATTTGAACATTCTCTTGTCCAGAAAAGGAAAATATCATGACCTTTTCCCTCCATACTCATGGTCAAGCCACTGCCTTGCGTTATTAACCCGCCACTGAGCGGCTGATATACCGGCTGTCCGGTAAAACCATCGATTATCAAAGTCTGAAAAACATTTTTGATTTAATTATACCCAGAAATAGTATACGTATTCCTTTTTGTTTAGAGTTATTCAATGCTTTTACTTTAACTGAGTATAATATTATTTATGACGTGAAACTATATTCATTATTATTCCGAAAATAAAGGAAGAGAAAGTGTTTTTGATTTTCATTTAGTTAAAAAATAGCTTTATCTTTTTAATTACCCATTGGAATCTCAATTGAGGGGTTTCTGGCAAAAACCCCATTAGTCAGATATTTCGAAATTTGGAAAAACTAAAAAAACGTATATCTTGCTCCCATTTAAATTTAAATTGTCGTTTTTTCTGTGTGAGCTCTGGTTATAATCTGAAATTACAGAAAACTAGTTTTCTTTATTTTTTTTTCTTATTTTTAAGTTAGGAAGGGCGTGAATTTGTTAGACTTGTGTTTTTTTTGTTGGAATTTTGGCAAAAACCGTGGAAACAACTAAGTCCTCTTAGCAACTGTTCGAACTATTACGAACGACAAATAACCAAACCACAACAAGTAGCGGACTATTGAGGTTTTTGCCGTTAAGACTTGTGACTGTACTTGTGACTTGTGGGGTTCTTGCGGAATTACGGTATTTTTGATCGTATGCACGGGCTGACTTATAGCACTTTTTCCGAATTCTTAAGCTATATATATCTAATACAATATTGAAATATTAATATCCCAGTCACAAGATACAGTCGCAGCGATTTAATAATCAAAATCGCAGTTTCAATTGCGATTGGAGAATCGCAGTTTTGCTCATCTCTAGTAGTTATGGCGTTTGTCGTTAACACGGCGGTATAACAGAGAACAATCGTAGATAAGCGACAAAAACCGTCGGCACTATTGAAGTGAGAGAGAGGGACCAAGTTTTGTGACCGTCAAATTGGCGTACTTGAGAGATCGCCGGTATATAGCTGCACTGAGAGAAATTCAACGAAGGCAAAAAAAAATGAGAAAAGCTATACACTGAAAAAACATGTGTAAAATAGTATATTATTATAAATATTTAGGAATCATATTGAATAGTAACTATCCTTTAAGATTTAAGGGTTTTCCACGGTTTGCGGGTTTACCGCGTTCTAACCATTTTCTAACCTATTCCTTTTAGAGGGACATTTTCAAATCGTATCTGATAATATTGTTTGTTTCGAAATTAATATTTGAAAGTGTTTTTTTTAATCAAAATGATAAATAAAACAATTTTAAGACAATTTCGAATATTTATCAGCTGTTATCACAAGAGTTAAAACAAACTAAAAAGTAAATAACATAATTATAGAATTGAGGGTTCGAACCGCGGTGTAACAACAGCAAAATAAAACACTAATTTACCACAATACACCAAACCACTTTATTTCTGCAGTGCATCCAGCAGATGATTAAAAAACATAATATCTCTATAATATGAGAACATAGGTGGTAGATTAAATTTACAAGAAAGAAAACCCAGAAAAGATTCAGCGCTTCTGAAAATGTAAGCATTTTTTTTTTAATTTTCAAAGAATCTCGGTTATTCTGAACTTATTAGAAAAAACCGTAAAGAGAAAATATTGTCAAGATCAAGGTGTATTACTGGCTGCATAACTGCATTACTGCTACATAATCGCAACGTGCATTGAGGAACCTGGCGAATTCGCCAGAAAGTAAAAGAAAATTACAGAATTCTTTAGAAAATTCCAGAAACCATCGCCAGGGGGTATATAAGGCCCGCGCTTTGACAGTTGGACCAGTCTGAAGATAGTCTGTAGTTTGATAATACCGCGAAATACCGTTAGAGTAATAGTAGTTGCATAAATTGTGTTGTAAATAGTATAAGTTGTGTGTACAGAGTGAGACAAATAAATTCGTTAAGTATTTTATCGTGAGTTTAAATAGTGGACCCACGGAATCTGTAACAATATTATGCTTCATTTATCGAGATCTACCGGCCCTGAAAATATTTGCACTTATTTAAGACTCACCCTGTATATTAAAAAATCATATTTTACATAAAAAGCCATACCTATTACATTTAAAGATAACACAACTCAAATTAGCGTCGCTAATATTTTATATTTGCGATAAAAAATAATTTAATTTTCTAATACATAGTTTTAATTTTCTAATTATTGTTTATTAAACGCTAACAACCTGCATCTATTTTAAGTTTTAATAATATTTAGTTCCGAAGATTAGTTCTTTCTTTAAGTACTATTATAAGGTAAGGATAAAACATAGATTAATTAATTCAAAAAGATTAATTATGTACACAAATAAAAAAATATTAAGATTTCAGGACATTATCATTAACAATGGCAACGCTGGCCGTATTCGGAAAACACGTTGAGATGACAGTTAGCCGGTTTACCTCCCACTCCAAATTTTAGGCGGGATTCGTTTTGTCGCTTCTCTACGATTGGTATAAACCTTCAAAAAAAAAAAAAAAAAATTTATATGAATTTTTAAAGTAGCTCAACCTAAGACGTTTATGGATGTAAAGCACCAGATGGCGGGGCGTATTTCATAGTCTTTTACTACAGAAAAATATTTTTTGTTACTCTGAATTTTGAAGCGACCAATAAAAACAGAGAAAATAAAAATCGATAATTTTCGGACTGTGCCAATTGGTTACTAATCGACCAGATACTTTTTGTCTATTAGATATGCTATAAAAGCTGGTAATTATACAATTCGACCATTGTAAATACCCGATAAATTCCGCAAGGCCGACGAGACCGATGCTTTTCACTGATAAGAAAAAAAAATGTTTGTTTAGGTAATTTTCGAGATATTTTTCTTTCTTAATGCACATTTTTAAAGTATTTTATATTCTTTGTCCGCCTGATCTATTATACTGGTCGCACGTATCGAAGTTCTGTTTCTTCTAGTTTTAAAAAAATGTTTATTTCTTTGTAGTTGTCGTGTAAAATTAGATTAATTTTATTAAGTTTAATTATAATGTTTAGTGTAGAATACCAGAAATAGTTTAGTAGTGTTTTTATAGTTTATTATTTTGTAGTTAAGTAGTAGGTGAAGGGATAATTTGGTTATTTTTTCTTTTTGTTTGATTAATTAGTAAGTTTGATGATTTTTTCAGGGTAGAATACAAGAAGTAGTTGTGTAGTGTTTTTATAAGATATTATATTAGTTTATTTTGTAGATGAGGTATTTGGGTATATTTTCTTTTTGTTTTTCTTCTAATTGTAATAATTCTATTAAGTATTGTGATAGATACACTATATCTTCCTTCAACTTCGTTGAAAAGTGCGTTATCATATAATTTTGGTTTTCTGGTAGTAGAATATACGAAAAAAAAATCTGATCAAATTTATTTTAAATTAAATTAATCGAGTCTTATTAATCAAATTAATCTAGTCAAATAATAATAACAGTTAGTTTCTAAATACTATACAGGGTGAGTTTCCTACGATCGATGTTCTCTATGGGTATCTCGGAAACTACTGGAGATAGAGAGTCGATTAAATGGGGAAAGAATAATTGCAGTTTTGTAGGGTCATAAATATGCGCCTTTCGGATTTTTCGGAGAAGTTCAAGGTTTACTAGATATTTCGAAAAAAACAAATTTTGGCTATTTTAAAACTTGTCTCTAATTCCATTATAATCTACCGTATGATCGAATAAAAACGGCGTCAACAATGGCTATGAAATGAAGATCGCTGTCATTTTATATGTAAAATTATATGGGAAATATCATCGATTGTCATTTCATAGCCATCGCTGACGCCATTTTTATTCGATCATACGGTATTTTAGACAAAAAGTTTCAGATAAAAGTTGTAGATAATCACATACCTAATGAGTTTGTGTTTTTGTTTTTTCCTAAAGCCTGTCATTTTTGACATATGACACAAACATTATGTTTTTTTTTTTAAATGGAAACCATAGTTGGCCATGACTTCATAAAAGCGCCATTTTTAAGCTTTTCAGCGATATAGGTATAATATGTTTTTTCGAAAATTACAAGTTATAGCCAATTTTTCTTTCTTGGCTAATTTCCATACCAATAATACCATGCCAGTTAGTTGGCACCAAAAATGTAAAAAGTTTTATGTTTTAAAAAAAATGAAATGATTCTTTATAAACCTACATTAAATCAAATTAAAATAGGTAACTTTTTTTTATATATTAATTAACAGCTAATTAGCATTATCATAAATTATAAATAATGTACCAACATATCGAAATAATAATTTCTTTGTTAATACGGTTTAGAATTCTTAAAATAACAGGCAAAAAATAATCCACAATTTACAATAAAATAAGTTTCGTTTAAATTTCTTAATCAACTGATCACTATTAAAGTTCGCAGAAACCCGGGCTATTTTATTACATTACTCTGAGGAAAATAACGAAAATAATCGATATTTTTGACTCCGCCCCGAAAGGTTCACGATTTGTCCTCCAGTTGGCAGCACATTTTGTCTAGTCGGTTGATCAACTTTAAGAATATATAAACAAGAGTATAACCATCAGTTGTATTCTTCCCATCATAATCTTTAATTTTATGATTCTCATTTCTTTAAAATCACGTTTTCTTTATTTATACACAGGAATCTTTATTTCTGTCTCTATGAATCTTTGATGATAAAAATACAAGAAATACAAACACAAAAAAACGACACTTTCTGCACACCAAATTTCTCGTAGTTTTTCAAAAAAAGTGAATAATTTTTGCTTAAGAGTCCATTTCGAAGTCCGAAAAAGCATGGTAAAATAAGCGTTCGGCATTTAACGTTTTATGTAAAACTGGCTAGGTATTTTTACACAAATGAAGAAGGAAATTAAAGATAGAGGATCATACTATATCCGTTTTTTTCGTAGCACATTTTTAGACAACTTCTTTATTTTTAAGATTTTGATGGTGAAACATCAACAAAATATTCCTTATGTTTGGACTAAATTTTCTCGAAAATAAAGACATAATTTAAAATTCCGTTACAATACGGAAAGAGATTGAAGTTTTGTGATTACAGTGATATATAATTTATATGGTTTTGTAACAAATTGCTAGCTATTTTATGGCAAATGCTGAAGCTCTGCAAACCTTATTCAAGCCTTAATCAAAGCACGTGTGTTTGGAATTTTAGGTGTTGCTTAACACGGCAGGATTGGGCTAAGCGTTTACCCGACCACTGAGAGCGATCCGAACAGTACAGCGTAATAGACTCTTAAAATCACCAATCGATTAAACCTCAAGTTTCTGTAATATAAACTTACTTGCGTGTAATTATAATGAAAGATATTGTCGTATTTTTGATAAACAACTAGGAAATCCGTCACATTGTCGCTATTAAAATATGCCGGAGTGGGAATCATACTAGTCACGGCATCAGGAATAGAGTAGTTCCAGATTTGTACCAAAGTCTTTCCATCAATTGCCACCACCGTAGAATTGTACATGGACGATATTATATCTGGTACACCATCTCCAGAAATATCCACCAAGACTGCTTGGGTCAATATGCCTTTGTACTTGTCTTCGTACACTGTAGTAGATTTGTTTGGCTAAAATAGTTATTTTTCGATTTAAATACACAAAATCAGTGTTTTTTTAATGAGACTATGTTAGATATTAAAACACCACGAAAGAAAATATTGTATTTAGGTAATTTCTGAAATTGATACCATATTTGCTGCATATACCGGGTGCGTCACAAAAGTAGCTCACCCCTGAAACTTTTCTATTTTTTCAACTTTATTCGACAAGATTTTATAGAAAATGCCACTCTGAATAGAATGACACATCGTATGTCAACTTTGGACATTTTCGCATATGGTTTATTTGAAATTGTAAACATGCGGTTCATAACAAAAATTTGACTCGAAATACCAAGTGTGTGGTACCAAATTTTTTATAAAAAAAATATTTTTCCAAATATGCTAATGAGCCACCCTCGTTCCATAAGGCAATCTAGATTCGTTCACTAAGGCAATCTAGATTGAAATTTAAAATACGATGTTTTTTTAAGCAAATACATATATGTCAAAAGTTGTCATATGACATATGATATGTCCTTCTATTCAGAGTGTCATTTTCTATCGAATAAATTAAAAAAATACCGAGGGTGGCATTTAAAAATCAAAAATTGTAATAATTTCCGGTGAAACAGGAAGTGACCAAAAACAATTGAATACGTCAATAAATTCTAATTTATGTCATATACTAACATACCAAATCTCATTTTTTTATCCGAAAAAATAAAAAAGTTATAGGGGTGAGCCACTTTTGAGATGCACCCGGTAGAGAACCCAGGCCAAATCATTACCAAGAAATCTATGCTATCCAAAGAGATAACTCTTAACTTTCCAGGTGTGTTTGGACTTCCCGTTCCATACAGTACCATCGTAGTCGTACTATTTTGCTTAAATATCTGGGGCATATAAAAGGTCTTTGATCCGTTTGGTACTGACAGTCTTTTGAGCTCACGTCCAGTTTTTCCAGATAACAGAATTATATGACCATTTTCATCACCTAATAGATAAAAAATATTTATTTTTTTATGGTAGATACTTAAATGAAAATCTGTATTAAGAATTTTCATTTCTCTTATTGCTATCTACAGGGTGTCTCAAAAAACATGTGCCATCTCTCATAGGGAGATTCCTCACGTAAAATTATATTTATTTTCCATATCAACATAGGACAGATACTGCTTTGTTTCGTAGCTACAGGGTGTTAAATTATTAATAATCTTTAGATTTATTATAATTTTCTTCCTACTTACTTTTAGTGATTCGACTGAAATTTTGAAGGTAAAAATTACTATAAAAAGGGCTAAAAAAGTGTCGATAAATTCATCAGGGACGTGCACATGGGTTATCACTGGAATATTTTTCAAAAAACGTACGCCACTGACTTTTTTTCTTTTGATATCAAAATTGTGTAAGCCGCTTAATGCCAATTAAAAGTTATATCTTGATATTTTGTCGAATTCGGCCTCCTTGATGAGATAAACGCAATTTTATTAATCACAATTAATAAAATTAAAATTAAAATAAAATTAATAAATTATATATTTTACTTAATTTATTAATAAATATTATTACTATTAGTCCAACTTACAGCAATTTTAAATAAAAAATAATGGTATTTAAGATAATCTGTATTAAAACATAATTTTAAAAAGTTTAAACTCTAAAACTATGCACTTCCATACCCATGTTTATAGTAACTTTTCTCATATTTTCTGATGCGGAATCAATGAGTACTTATTTAAAACTTTTACAACTTAATGATATTAAATTTTTTTAAAGGTTGCTATTAGACTTGGATCAAGTCAAATTAATAAAATTTCCTTTATCTCATCAAAGAGGCCGAAATCGACAAAATATCAAGAGACAACTTTTAATCGCCATTAAACTGCTTCCACTATTTCACTCACAAGAGAAAGAGAAGTCAGTGGCGTCCATGCTTTTTTTAGAAAAATATTCCAGTGATAACTCATATGCACGTCCCTAGTGAATATGTCGACACTTTTTTAGCTTTAATATATGTCATATTCATAGTAACTTTTACCCTCAAAATTTAATTCGAAACGCTAAAAGTACTTGGAAGAAAATTATAATAAATCGAAAAAATATAAAGACTTTAACACCCTGTAGCAACGAAACAAAGCAGAATCGGACCTATATTGATGTGAAAAATAAATCTTATTTTTACGTAAGGAATCTCCCAACGAGAGATGATACATGTCTTTAGAAACACCCTGTATAATTACGAACCTGTCAATGATGAATGAGAACTGATTATATCCGAAACGTTGTCTCCGTCCTGATCAGGAATAAAATTCATCAGGAATATGTCCATTCTGCCTGCGTTGATTTCCCAAATGCTCTGCCCAGTTTTGGAATCGATGACTGTAACTGTCTAATAAAAATTACAAACTAACTTAAAATAAATACATAATACGAAGTGTTTGATTGTAAATCATTTCGATAATTGAAATCAGTTAGAATCAACACCACATAGAAGAAAAGTCGTACCCCATCAACTCCTGTAGCTAGGCAATCATTTAAGTTATCCTGATTTATATCCGCTGTACAATGGAGACTAAACACAGTGTCGTTGATCCAGTGTCTCCATATTATATCCCCCGATGCACCGTTTAGGGATATAATTCCCCCTCGGCATGGTGGGGACACTCCTAAGAAAACTGGACAAAAAATTTCTGGGGGAAGGATGTTGTAGTTTTCTCCTAAAACGATAAAATGCGTTAATTGTACAGGGTGTCCCCCTAAGAATAGCTCTCGGCTGTATCTCGGAAAGTATTAGTCGTAGGGCTTGCGGAAAAAAAATATTTATAACTAAAGAGACCATGACAAATTGATGGAAATTATTTTTAAGTTTATAGAACGGCCACTAGAGGGCACAACTGCTACCTATGGAAAATAAGAAAATGGATTTTTTTCGAAGTTTTGCCTAGATAAGGTGTACTCTAAGTAATAGCTTCACAATCTCCAGTAAATTTTGGATCTTTTTTGTTTGAACCATTTTCCGCCTATCTGCTAAAATTAAGTTGTGGAGGAAGGTTAGATCTGTTTTTGTTTAAATATTAATAACTCCGGACAGGGTCAACGGAATCCAACAAACGGGGACTCATTTCAAAGAGCGTTTCTTACTCTATATTATACCGTATAAACAATAATAATAAGCTTTTAAATGTAGACGCTAGGGGGAGCTGTCTTACAATTTAACAAACACTGCACGTTTTTTCAAAAAAAAATAAATGCTATACTATATGTAATTTTAGCTGATGGTAAAGAGTAATAAAAGCTTAAAATGTCAACGAAAACCGCATCTTGATATCTTTTTTCAAACCGAAGATATTAGCAAAATTATAATAAATACGAAAAAATAAGCCCTTAATTACTTTATTTTTATAACACGGTAACAGTCTTGATTATGACCATTGTAATAAAAAATAATATAGAACCGATTAATTTATTCTAAAATAGACAATATACCACAATACCATAATACCAGATATAATATCTAATAATTAAGATATCAATGACAGTAAATAAGAAACGAAGCCTCAGTGAAGTCGTGGTAGGTTTTGGAAAAAAGTTGCTTTTGACGTATAAACGTCAAAGTGTTATTAGGTCAACATTTTGGTATTCTTAGCAGCGTTTTTTTCTCTTTTGAAGAAAGACAGTTTTAGAAAAGTAATCAAAACCTAAAAAACGCTGCTGAGACTATCAAAATGTCGATATAATAATATTTTGATGTTTAATCCTTTTAAAACCAACTTTTTTCCAAAGCCTACTATGAATTCACTGAGACGTCGTTTCTTGTTCACTGTCATTGATATCTTAATTATTAGATATTAATACACCAATACACCTAGTATTATGGTATTCCGGTACATTGTCGATTTTTTGAATAAAATAATCTTTTTTATCTTATTTTTGATTAGAATGGTCACAATCCAGAGGGCTAGTGATACCGTATTAGAAAAATAAGGTACTAATTAAGGGCTTGTTTTTTCGTATTTATTAAAATTTTGCTAATAACTTTGGTTTGAATAAAGATATCAAGATGCTGTTTTCGCTGACTTTTTAAGCTTTTATTACTCTTTAGTATCAGCTAAAATTACACATACTATCGCATTTATTTTTTTGGAAAAACGCGTAATGTTTGTTAAGTTATAAAATAGCTCCCCCTAGCGTCTACGTTCCGAAGCTTATTTTTATTCTTTATATTGCATAATATAGAGTAAGAAACGCTCTTTTAAACGAGCCCCTGTTTGTTGGATTCCGATCATCCAGTCCGAAGTTATTAACATTTAAATAATAACAGATCTAATCTTCCCCCACCACTTTAATTTAGTAGACAGGCGAAAATGGTTCTAACAATAAAGATACCAAATTTACTGAATATTGTGAAGCTATTATTATTTATAGTACACTTTATCTAGGCAAAACTTCGTAAAAAATCCATTTACTTAGTTTCCATAGCAGTTGCGCCCTCTAGCGGTCGTTCTACAAACTTGAAAATAGTTTTCAGCAGTTTTTCATGGTCTCTTTAGTTATAAATATTTTTTTCCGCATGCCCTACGACTAATAGTTTCCGAGATACAGCCGAGTGCTATTCTTGTGGGACACCCTGTACAGGGCGAATCAATGATAAAGTCCATTATCTTGATTGACATTATATTTTTGTTTTGAGATTTACTAAAAAATATGTGTTTGTACAAAACAGTCTTTTTTCTAGCATTTACCTGTACCAAATCCAAATATGACGTCATCGACTTTATCCCCATCTATGTCCAATACTCTCACAGGGGAATCACTGGTTAAAATAGGTAAATTCGTAGACCAAACTTCGCTAACTTTCAAATTGGTACAAGGCAAAGGTTTGTCTCTAATTTCTGTACTCTTTGGTTTGGATATTATCCAGTCTCTTAATCTGTCCAGAGGTAATGGATATATGGAAACCAAGACGACTACCAATACTATTAGACCTAAAAAGAAAACATAAAATGGTACTTATATATATTTTTTTCAGGGTGTAAGTATTTTATGCAGGGTGTATCGTGTAACAGTGGGCCAGTACCAACTTACTTATTCCAAATGGAACACCCTGTATATTATGCAATTTTTCGATTCTTCAAAAAACTCAGAAATATTTTGTGTGCAGTATATTAAGTGACCTTAGCAAATTGATTTCTCATTGCATGATAGTAAATATGTCATTGTTTTAGTTGTTTCAGTTTCGTTAACTGTATATATTATAAAAATGGTGACAAAAGTGACAATAATTTGCTAAAGCATATATCATTCTTCTTATAATTATGTTAGAAAATAGATATACCATAATAGTTAAAAAGGTTTATGATCTAGAGGGACGTATGATCACGAGGGAATCGTTGACACTTAAAAAAATACTTTATAAGAATTTTTTATCTATTATCACACCATCACGTGACTTATTTTAAACGGAAAATGAATTTTTTAACCGAAGTATGTACTAGAATATACTTCAGGCAGTGGCGGCTCGTCAGGGTAGGCAAGGTAGGCGGCGCCTACCCTAAAATTTTGGCAGAATTTAAGCGGTTTATTACATTACATTATTTACTATTAATGTTGCCAATACATAAAAATACTGTTAATACGCGGAAGTGTGTTTTAATAATCAATATAATATTTGTGGTCTTGTATATTAAAATATTCACTATCGCTGGCGTATGCGGACTGTGCCGCTGCATTAGAAAACAAAATAATTTTGACCGTTGGGGTGCCTTTGTTCACTTGTGTCTAGCCCTAACAGGCAATTATTAAGCCCGACCAATCACGTTAGAGTTTTTGACAAACACAAATGAATTAACACACTCCAAATAACCACGCTAACCAACCTGATTGGTCAAGCTTAATAGTTGACGGCTAGGGCTAGACACTTCTCCTTTGTTCGGCGATTTCTGCATCGCCTACTATCAGAGTCGATGCACGACGTACGGCAGTCTTCTATCTCTGTCTAACTCATCGTGCGGTAGCGACGCGACGTAAGTCGGAGTATCGTATTAAGGCGAAGCTTAGGCGAAATCTCCGGTCGCCTTCGAATGAAGTCGTGGAGGCTCGGTAGGCTTAGAAGTTAAGGGAATATTCCCGATCTTTCATAAGGGGATATATCACATTTCGTTAAGGGGATATTTCATATGATTCATTATACGTAGCATTTAAAATTTTTATATGAAAATTCAAAAAACGTTTAAAGCAAATTGGAAACATTTTTCGGGCTTGTCCGAGATTATTCAAAATGATATGATATAACCGGTTGTATTTCAGAACACGTCACAGAAATAAAATAATCCAAAATAAAAAAGCGCGTTATTTTATTCGGTGCAAGAAGACGATACAACAGATATTACAGAAAAGTCTCAGTGTGCTATTTCAATTCGATAAAAGCGGCTAAGTCAAATATCTTTGCGAATTTTATTTTATGAAATATTAGATAACATTGTTATACATTTAGAAATAAGGTTTGCAGATAGGTACTCGTATGCCTCAATTATTTTTATTTGTCTCTTGCGGATCCGAAATTTAAAGAACCAACGTAAATTAATGACCAACGTAAATTAATGAATAAATTGAATAAATTTTGACCAACGTAAATTAATGAATAAATTGCAGGTATTGATAATAGATATGATAATTTCGATTATAAAATAATTTAAGGAGAATAATCCTGGAAATATATTTCCAGAGGCTTTCAAATTGTTTCTTTTGTTTGTTACTACACCATTTACAAGTACTTGGGTTGAGAGACATCATGTTTGAAATGCATTAAAATTTATAGTAGAGAATCCATGCAAAATAAACGTTTATCTTCACTTGCCTTACTTTCAATCTAAAAAGATCTTTTCACAGTTCTTCAACAATCTGATGATTTTACTGATATAATAATAAATAACTTTTCTTTATCAAGAGACCGACTCATCAATTTAATATACATATAAAACATAATTATTCTTTTCCTCAATACTACCAATTTTTTTACTACCAAGTTTGCGTAAATAAATAAAATTTTATGATGTACTCCATAGTAACTTCATAGTAATAGATAAAAAAACATATACTTGTACATTATGTCAATCATTATGTCCTTACGTTGAATGCTGTAATTTTTGCTTTAGTTTTGTCCTAAATATTCTTGAGCTATGTTTTTTAAGTAAATTAGGGGGCGCAAATAGACGCAACTAAAATTTTGTCGCCTACCCAGTCACCAGGGTCACGAGCCGTTACTGATTTCAGGAAAATTTTAACTTCTAAAGGGTGGCTCAAAAAAGTGTGAGTGAATCGGGATGATTTTTTTTAAGTGGAAAACCCTGTATATTATTGCATTATTGGCTTCCTTTCACATCTCTTTACATAATTCTTATCTTCATTCATAATTCTTCAATTAATTTATATGTGTAAATATAAATATTAATTAATAATTTCAATAGTTTCAGAGATATTAATAAATAAATAAAAAATATTTATTTTTCAGTCATTCTTAAAAAAAATGATTAAAAATACAAGGACTGTCCTGAAATCAAAACTATATTAGTTATTTACTTTAGATGGTCTGTACTTACTTTGATATAAATATGGTAATCTTAAAACATACTGGGTGTTCAAAATTCTACGCCAAACTTTCTAAAATATAAAACAATTTTTCTTCGTTTTTTTAAATAGAACACCCACAATTAAGAAAACAAGAACTCACTTGACAATATTTACGCAACTGAGAGCAATGGTAATTTTAATTTTAAAACTTATTTTTAATATACAGGGTGATACAATTAATTTCATTTTATTTTCACATTGCCCTTGTAGTTTTAAAAAAAAACAGTATTTATTTATCACACAATTATTATTCTAAAAATACCATAATACAATTTCTACCGATTAGTGTTAAATACGTGACTCAGAATAATTGTACAACCGCAAATTATTTATTATTTTTAAATGGAAAACACGTATAATTATTAATATTTTCTTCAAAACTATAATTTGTACTAAAATTATTAGGTACACTACTACGTGTTGAGTGATTCAAACTAACGGCATATTTTTCATCTACTACAAATTTAAAAAATTGTATTTTGATGATTAATACCTATAATACAGAATTTTATCAAAGTTTTTAGATTGTTTTGCACTTACTCTGACTCAAAATATATATATTTGTTTTAATTTGCTACATATGTAGTTGGTTTTGCAATAAAAAGTGACAAAAGTATATATATACCGGGTGCGTCTCAAAAGTGGCCCTATAACTTTTTTATTTCTTCGGATAGAAAAACGAGATTTGGTGTTTTAGTATATGACAAATTAGGATTGATTGACGTATTCAATTGTTTTTGCTGACTTCCTGTTTGGTGAAACATTTCCGGTGAGAAATTACTACAACTTTCGATTTTTAAATGGCACCCTCGGTATATTTTTACTTTATTCGATAGAAAATGACTCTGAACAGAATGACATATCATATGACAACTTTTGACATTTTCGCTTAAAACAAAATCGTATTTTAAATTTCTCTATCTAGAATGCCATGGCTGTGTTAAAAACACTACTTTTTAATAAAAGAGAATTGGAAAAATAGATTTGATCGTTTAATGTTTTTCGTATCTTGTCCTGGCTGGTTAAAAAATGCCCAAATCGTATTTTTAGTCATATCTCAATTTTTTCAAATGGAACAAGGGTGGCTCATTAGCATATTTGGAAAAGGCATTTTTTTAAGAATAATTTGGTGCCACACACTTGACATTTCGAGTCAAATTGTCGTTATGAACCGCATGTTACAATTTTACATAAACCATATGCAAAAATGTCAAAAGTTGACATATGATATGTCATTCTATTCAGAGTGTCACTTGGCTATCGAATAAAGTAGAAATATAACGAGGGTGACGAGAGTGACGAGAGTGACGAGAGTGCCATTTAAAAATCAAAAGTTGTAGACATTTCCGGTGAAACAGGAAGTGACCAAAAACAATTGAATACGTCAATTAATAAAATATTATTATACATAAAGTAATTTATGTCATATACTAACATACCAAATTTCGTTTTTTTTTATCTGAAAAAATAAAAAAGTTATAGGGGTGAGCCACTTTGCCACGACGCAGCCGGTATTTCGTTTGCTTTGATTTGGAAATCAAACCAAGAAGCTTCCTTGATCTAAAGATTATAAGCTTCAAAACTCCTCCTGGATTCAGCAGAGCCAATAAGTAAAGTAGTACAAAACATGACAACTTAAAATGAACCCTTCAGAAAATATTTTACAAAAAATACTTGTGTTTGATTTTAAAATAGGTATTATTATAAAAAGACATAGATTACCAATGAGGACGCTTAGGGAAGCCAGGACATAACAACAGGGTTTGCACCAAGCTCTGCAGGTGTGTTTGGCTTTTAGTCTTGAACCTGAACAGTCATGCTTTCCAATTTTTCTTCTAGGGGCCATCAAGGGCCTTTTTACATTGAGCTCTTCAGCAAGCTGAAATTTTAGTACAAACGTTTAACGCTTTTAAACAAGCAATTAAAATCCAATGATACAAATAAACAAACAGGTAAATTCCTGAAATAAATCTAATACACAATTTTACTAAAAAAAATAAATTTGTAAATATATAAATTTTATTTAATATAATTAAATAACAGCTAGATATTATATTTTGAATCCTTTTTTAATGTACTGCCGTGTTAACGCAAAACGCCTTAACTACAATTGAGATACAAGTGTATCACTAAAAACATCAAGGTATATATTCCAACGAAATGAGAAGCAAAACATTTTATTTTGCTTTATTTTGGATTATAATAAAATAAAGTTTCACCCCAGATGCAAAAAAACGCAACGGAGCAATTTTTGGTCAAATTTAAAGTGTTATATTTTTATTATTTTTAGCCCTATTTTCATGAATTTTTTAGCAAGCTGTATATAATTATGTCAACTTTAATTCGTAAACTCAGTTTTTTATAAACTTTAGTATTTGGCATATTATATTATAGGGTTAATCAAGGGAATGTGTTTTACCCTAACTTCAAAACACCCTGTGCAATAATTTTTGTGTGTAAATTTTCCTATAATATAATTTTATGGTCAAAACCATGTTTCCTGAGCATTTTGTTTTTTGGATCATGTCAATACATGCCTTGGTTAATTTTTAAAAACGAAATGAACTTGCCACCAACAATTTGATTTTTTTTTCAATTATCATTTCTTTTTGAAATTATTTTTCAATATGACAAGGCGGCTTTGGTGATGATTGTGAATTATATACTACTATGCCCTTCATGTTCGACATTTGGGAAATGCTTGGCAGGAGGGTTAGAGGTCGCACAGCGGTACCAGCTTCATTAAATGAACTTCGCTTGGTCCTTAAAGAAGAATGGGAAAGCATAACGCAATATGATGCCTCAATATGCAGCCTCAATGACAGTATGAACGGACATAATATAAAGGTAGTTATAGCAGCCAAGGGAGGCAATACCTACAAAATATTAGCGTATTTTTTACAATTTTTTTTCTATTTCTATACTTGGGTATTACAGATGTTTTCTTTAATATCGTTAGTTCAGTCATCGTTATTAATGTTTATTAAAACAAGAACTGTATCGTTAGTCTCTAACGTTTTTTTTTTTTTAATTTAGTATAGCGAGTTTCCAGTAAAGCGTAATATGACGTTACGACATTAGTCACCAAAACCACCTCGTCATATTAAAAAATACATCAAAAAGTAATGATAATTAAAAAAAATTGCAAATTGATCGTGATCTGTTCATTTCGCTCTTAAAAATTAACCAAAGCATGTATTGATATGAATCAAAAAACAAAATACTCAGGAGTCATGGTCCTGACTGAAAAATTAGGTATATTTTAGGAAAATTTACTCGCGAAATTATTGCACAGGTTGTTTTAAAATTAGGGTAAAAAAGTAACCCCTCGATTAACCCTCTGTAAAATATGCCAAATACTCAAGTTTATAAGAAACTTAGTTTACGAATTAAAGTTGATATAGTTATATACAGCTTACTAAAGAATTCATCAAATAGGGTTAAAAATAACAAAAATATAACACTGTAAAAATTTGACCAAAAATTTCTCCGTTGCGTTTTTTTGCATCTGAGTGTACAAATATTAACAAAAAACTTCTTAACTTGTTCGAGGTATCAGATAAGGGCTTTTCATTAACAGGGCAGTGTAGGATCCAGTGACAGCTTGCACCCTTTGGCTAGCCTACATATGGCTTCGAATATCAAAGAATCCTTGTATGGTACAATGCCCTTAATTAAACTTCATACTATGTATCCTTGATTATATATAAACAAGGCTATGTATTAATAAAAACTAGACACTTTTAACTTACCTTATATCCGTTTTTCCCATCTCTAATAAAAACCTCATCTTCCACGTCACTGAGGTCATCTTCATCTAAAGAAATGCTTTCCCTAATTTCTCCCTTTAGATTCATGCCTGAATATGTTGCTGTCTTTATCACCATCTAAACACAAAAAAATATAACGTTTCGGGACACCCCCGTATATATTTTAAACTACGTATAAATTTATTAAAAGTTACATATATGTAAATATAAAAAAAAATATTTTAGAAAGTGTTTTAAATATATTCTAATTTTTATTTGCTTACTTATAAAATTTCCAGAGGTGTTTGTCTACAGGTAGATATAGTATATAAACACCGTAATGTAAACACTAATATATTTCAGGTACAGATTTCTACAAACACTCTGCGATTGTTTTACAGCACTAATTACATTAATAAACAACTAACTAGAAACATCAATAGAAAATAAAGAATATAAACACGGCGGAAAACATCTTAAAATAATGTTGGTCGACTTTGATACAGAGGAAAACATATGTTTCAACCCTCTCCGACGTTTTGCGTGATTTTCTGGATTTCCCACTGCTCAAACTCCACATTATTGATTTTCCCGCAATATTTTTACCGTATGGAACGTCTGGTCTGTCTATTTTTAGTACTAATATGGGGACATTTTGAAGTACTACCTATTTTATACCCTATTTCATTTATTATTAATTTAATTCTTTTAGTATTTCATAAAAAAACATAAATAATAATTAAATTATAAAAAACTTTTTCTACTGATAAGTAATAAAACTATATAATCCAAATGAAATATAATTATAGTTAATTCTTAAAAATAATGAAAACTCTTATCCAAAAAATATACACAATATTATATCATTTAGTTTATCAAAATAAGATATAAAAAATAAATCTTTAGATAAATTTGAGACAATAAATAAACTTATAAATCTATCCGATACATCTTTGTAAATGTATTGTAATAACGAACATAGATAAAAGAGTTTTTATCTTAGATTGCATTTTTTAATGTTTTAATCGCTGTATTCAAATTTACGCGGCAATAGTACCATACTAATCACGCCATACGTCCCACCTTTATCTCTTTCGCACGCTCGAGAAACACCGTTCTCCCCCTCTTCGTTTCCAATTTGTTCGGATCCTCTCGAAAAAGTTGGTTCGTTTTTCAGTTGACAGGTTGCCTTCGAGCTGTGCTTGTTTACATGGGATTCGGCGGTTCCATAATTTCGAAGTCGATAATTGTTTTTAAAACGATGACTTTCCCATTTCTCGCGTTTGTAGACTGTTTACGTTAAAATAACTCGGTAACGTTTCCTTCGCTTTACACGATTCATAAAATGTACGGTTTGTGACAGAAAAGAAATCGACTGGATCGAAATAATCAACTAGGTCATTAAATGTGAACCATTTCAGCTTGCCCAAATGAATAGGAAACATGTAAATGTCGATATGGATTCTGGTCTGGGAAGCGACGAGGATCGCAGAGGGTCAAGGACCAAGGAACAAAAGCAGCTACACAACCAGCAACTTTTGAGTGGGTGTTTTATTGATGCCGCAAGTTTGTCCGATGAAGCTGAGGTGGTGGATCAGAGAAGGACCGATGAACGACGACAAGGGGCCCTTATTTTCCAATCATCTATACCCCAGTTTTCCATGTTGCAAATGTCCAGCTCGGCCGAAGAAAGAGTGTTTAGTTCTCCCCGTAGTGTCTCTTCTAGCTATCCTGATACGTCCACCCCTTTTAACTCTATCGTTCAACTTGAGGAACACGGCGAACAAGAACACAACAGGAACAAATCTCCTTTGGGGTTTTACGTTGATTTAAGCCAAGTGCCTGATACTCCTAAGACCCCTCCATCTACGTCCACTAAAAAGAACATATTTTCCATGGTTATTGACTTCGAAGGACCAAAAAAAGACAAACCCATTAAGCTAAGTTCCTCCTACACGTCTTATAAGAAATCTAAACCCAAACCAAACTTACTAACCAAATGTAATGGGAGTGGAAGTTTGTCTTCCAGTGTTAGCTCGATCAATTCCATGTGTATGGCCAGTACAAGTAGGCAGAGTGAGGAACACGAACAAAAATATAATGGGAATCATCAGGAATTGGCTAGTATTAGCGTACTTAGTGCATCTTTAGTGAAAAATTTGTCTGTCTCATCTAAATCGTCGAGTGACGAGTCTAGCGATAAAAACATTGTGGAAAAAAGTGAGGAGGAGCTTCTAGGTGAATCTTTAGTTTTGCCGGATGAAGAAATAACGTTAAGAAATGAAGAAAATAATAATGCATCTAACGAACATGTAGTAGACGTGACGAACGTTAATGTTATTCAAGAAGATAGCAATAAAATACAATTGGAAACAGATGATAGTAAATCTTCAGAGACGACACGGGTGAGTCATTATTTTTTTTATTAAATAATGAGTTTTCCATATTTGGAAAAACCTCAACATTAATTTAACTTCCTATTTTTAATATTAGATTTATTAGTAACATTGAAGCATAAATAAGTAGGTAGTTGTTGATTCTACTGATTACATCAAATACATCAGCAGGATAATACTTAAATTTATCATGCTGATGTATACAGGTAATTAAATAATTGTTAAAGGGGTTTATATGTAGATTAGTGGGCACTGCTACTATTTAGATTCAAAATCAATGTAAAGTTTTTAGAATAGAATGTTTTGTGATTTATTTGAATATTGTTTTTTGCTCGGTTTTTTGTGATTATTTCCCTTATTATAAAATGTATCTCTTAATCAATGTTAATTTCTCCAATATCGATATTAAGAAATACTACCTAGCAAATTTTTTATTTTTATCTGATACCCTTTATAAACAAGGCTGATACCTAGGTGCCGAAAAGCTTTTTAGAAGATTAATAAAAATTTCTGTTTTTTTTTTCAAAGCGTCATGAAATGAACTGAAGCTGTCTGATATAATTCGATAAAAAACGAAGTAAAAAATATATTTTTGGCAATATAGGCAAATATAGGTATAGGTACTTACCGAGGTACTTACCCTCAAATGAACCGTCAGTTAATTGACAACTCTTTTATTTGAAAAATTGCGCTGGGATGAAAAGAATGCTTCTTAAAGATAGCTTATACAATACGTATAAAACCATTATAAAACTACAATAAAGTAATACATTTAAGAAACTAGTTTCTAAGTATTACGCTGATAATTTAGATATTTAAGTGAAATTACATATATGTAAAAAATTGTTGTTAAGTAGCATTTTTGCTAAATAAAGAACTATTATTATTATTATTATCTTTAATATTATACATAAGGTGTAAATGAATAAACGTGAAAAAACTGTAGAGGTGATTACTTGTTAAAAATTAAAGGTGATATTTCATATAAAATTTCTGGATGTGACCTACAAAAGTATTTGGATATATAGGGTGACCCAAAATTACAGTATTATCGATTGACATTTCAAAAACAGCTTGCTCTAGAAATTCTGAATTTGGTATGTGGATTGCGAGGTGGATTGTGGATGGCACTAGTCATTAGTCAATAGTTTTAGTGGTTTAAGGGTCTTTAAAGAACTTCACTTTCAAAATATAATACTTATCTAAAACTAAACGTTCTCTAACCCAGTGTTAATACATATTATCAAAGTAAAACCTCTGAAGGCGGGTAAGGGGACAAATAACTCACTCAATGCTTCAAAAAAAGCAGGGGGCGACATGTTTCGGGACTTAAACAATTCCCATCATCAGGCCCAGAAAGCTGAAACAATTACAATCAGAATAATAGAAAATTCCAATAGTCAAACAGAGGTCAAAATTATAAAACACGATCACAAAACAAATTAAAAAAGTTATTTTTTTTTTTAAAGTTAAAAAGTTATTTCTATCACAATAATTGTTCAATCACAGATAACAATATGGTAAGCTAAAATCACCTTTTAATTTTAGTTTAGTTGTTTTAATTTTCAAATTGAGCTTACCATATTGTTATCTGTGATTAAACAATTATTGTGATAGAAATAACCTTTTACAAAAAAATAACTTTTTTAATTTGTTTTGTGATCGTATTTTATAATTTTGACCTCTGTTTGACTATTGGAATTTTCTATTATTCTGATTGTAATTGTTTCAGCTTTCTGGGCCTGATGATGGGAATTGTTTAAGTCCCCAAACATGTCGCCCCCCTGCTTTTTTTGAAGCATTTAAATTTAAATAAACGTCTTAAAGATTGTCAGTTATTTGTCCCCTTACCCGCCTTCAGAGGTTTTACTTTGATATAATACTTTGTAGAAAAATTTCTGGGATACTCTGTACATTTTCCATTTTGGAGGGATCAACTCAAGGGGCCAGGGGCGCCGACTTTTACAAAACCTCGTGGGTGCTCATCAGATATGGGTAAATGTAACAAATTTCCAGATTGTTATATCTATTGTACAGTACGTCTGCTGGATCTGTCTCTATGAAAGGAATGCGGACAAAAAATATTTAAATAAATAGCAATATATTTTATAGGACGACTTGACGAGTAAGTCACCGCAAATCGCTCCGCCCACTCATTTTATTGGCTACTTGCAAATTTGTCGAATTTTTATTGATGGGAAGCGTTTCAAATGTTTTTGGTCGTGTTTCACCGGAAATGGCTACAACTTTTGATTTTTAAATGGCACTCCGGTATATTTCTACTTTATTTCATAAAAAATGACACTTTGAATAGAATGACATATCATATGTAAACTTTTAATATTTGTGCTTTAAAAAAATTAATATTTTAAATTTCAATCTAGAGTGCCATGGCTGTATTAAAAACACTAATTTTTAATCAAGAAGCCTTGGAAAATAGTTTTGATCGTCTAATGTTTTTCGTGTTTTATCCTGGCCGGTTAAAAGATGCCCAAATCGTATTTTTAATCATATCTCAATTTTTTCAAATGGAACAAGAGTGGGTCATTAGCATATTTGGAAAAAGCATTTTTTACGAATAATTTGATACCACACACTTGGTATGTCGAGTCTAATTGTCGTTATGCACTGCATGTTCCAATTTCAAAAAAAAACAATGCGAAAATGTAAAAAGTTGATATATGATATCATCACATAAATATAGTAGAAATATACCGAGGGTGTCATTTAAAAATCAAAAGTTGTCATTTCCGGTGAAACAGGAAGTTTTCCGGTGAAACACAGACAAAAAACAATTGAATACGCCAATCATTACTAATTTATGTCATATAACGTATCAAATCTCGATTTTTTATCTGAAAAAATAAAAAAGTTATAGGGATGAGTCACTTTTGAGACACACCCGGTATATAACAAAGTTAGGAAAATACCATATCAATTATTGCAATTCTATTCTGTATTTTTGCAATTCTATTGAGTATAAGCAGCTATGCAGAGATAAAACTTTTTAGCGCAGATACCAATTTGTGAAGATATTAATTATACCCATTACAAGAGTGTAAGGGTAGCCAGTAAAACAGACAGATACTGTATTTTTATAGCGATACAAAATGAATGAAGCTAAAAATTGCTGAGATAGTGGATGGAGGGTTTGGTTTTCGGGATTGGGCAGCTTAGGGTTGCGATCGACAAATTTATCCAACAAAACTAAAAATTCTCGAAAATAAACCAAATATAAACATTCCCAACGAGCTTTAATATCACAGCAATTTTATAGGACCGTTTTATCTAAAATGAACTGTGTGACGCCCTCACTTCAGCTCATTTTTTCTAAGTGAAAATGCCCTCCCGAGATACAGTTCTGTCTTGCGTTTTGCCACAGGTTTTGCTCGCTTGTGCAATAAAGAAAAAGCAGAAAAACAACGTTTAGTTAGTTTAGTTAATAAAGCAAATTGACCAAAGTCAAAGTTATTATTCCTATGTCGATTTGATTGCTGATTTAAAAGTTGAAGAACAGGATTGGTTTTTGGAAAAGAATAGACGAAGAAACTTACTTAGAACTATTGAAATTTATTTCTTCAAAAAATTACCACAGTATGATGCGCATCATGCATGTACCAAAGGATTTAGTTGTTTCGCGATGTCTTACCTTGCGCTGTATAAGATATGAGTTTGTTTAAAGTTGCTAAACTGAATAGTGTCGATGGCTATGCTCGTGGGTGCTGGAGCACCCACGCAGTCGGCGCCCCTGCAAGGGACTATTTTTTTTACTTTTTTTGAATTTCGAAATGGGCAGAAGATGACAATAATTGTCCGCCATATGAATCCAAAATAATTTAAATTTTTCTGATATTTTTTTCGATGTCATCTGTTGTCATAGACAAAGCGATAGAAACTATTAGTACAAGGCGTTCCTTTTAATATACTAGTATTTAAGAAGCTGATTCTTGGACCTATTCTATGAAAAAAAATTATCATATGAATTAAAAACAACTTTTTTCATTACTCTGATGTTATTATAGATATCTTTATGAGTTTTGATACACGTCTTCTATGCATCAAGTTGCCTTTTTTTGATCTACATACAATTTCATTTCTTTTAACCAGTGGCGTTCGTACAGGTTTTGTATTGAATTTTTGGAGAAAAAATTGGTACCTACGTCACTCTCTTAAAATAAACATTATTTTTAACATTTTCATTAATTTCTAAACAATTTTCATTTCTAGATGTTTTTCCTTGTACTCATGGTTTTTGTACAGAAGAAGTAATAAAGTGGGTTTCCGAGTGGTTCTCTTTGTAGTCTGTGATTTTTGCTTAAAAAAATTAGTAATTTTACTTCAGGGTCAAATTGCTAAAAATATGATGATTTCTGCATCGACTGGAAGAAAATTAACATATACAACAATTTTTTTGTGCATCAAAAAATGCATTTTAACGTGTTTTAAATTTCATAGACATCTACCGTATGATAAAAAAAACGGCGTCCAAGACGGCTGGGGTATGACAATAATTGATGATGATTTTGGCTAGGTGAGTCTAGCCGTCATTTACTAAAAACTGACATAAAACGTGTCATCATTAACACTAATCATAGAAAGATTAAAAAAAGATAGAAGGATAGAAAAATTCGAAAAATCGATTGTCATTCCCAAGATGAAGCGTTCTTCGACGCCGTTTTTTTTTCGATCGTGTAGTATAGTAACATCATAGTAATGAATAAATGTTTTTTTTTTAATCTATCAAGTTATTTAGAAAATAAATTCTTTTGATGTATACAGGGTGTTTCTTAATACAAACTATTATTTGAGGGGGTGGTTCTTGGACATAATATGGTAGATTTATTTCCTTGATAGTTAATTTACGCCTCAAATTAATTATGTACCTACTTTTTTTCGATGTACAGGGTGGCTCGAATTCGACGCTCATCATTGGGATTTCAAAAACCGAAAGAGATACAGGATCGGTTAAATGGAGGCAAAGTTGCGCAATTTGATGCTCAATAAAATGC